ATTGATTTGTTATTCTGGCAAAATCAATATCATCCCCTGAAAGAACGTTCAATCCGGATTCATTTGCGTTTATTTTTTTAATTATTTCTTTTTTATATTATATTTTTATTACTTTATTATTTTGGATTGATTTGTTATTCTGATTTTTTTTAAACAATTCATTTATTTGTTCAAAAGGATATACAAAATGTACGTAACGCAGATTTATTAATAAAAGAAAAGGAAGAATTAAACTAAAAGACTTTGTTATGTTTTTCAGAAAATTGCGCAAAGCCAAGATCTTACACGTCCGATAAATGTCGGTCTACGAAAAGATGATGACAACGAAGGTAAAGTCTCTTCAGTCTGTTCTGGGATATTTTTTCACATAAAAAAAATCAACGCAGTGAGCTCTGACTGCAGGCTTCAAGGAATGAAGCAAAAGAAATGAAGGTTTCCCTGAATTGCAGTGCGATTGTCTTTTAACCTTAGCCATAAAGCCAAAATTCAAAATCCAGTTTTTGGAAATGAACCTAGCGAAATTTGCAGCCCTTAGACCGAGAAAGTGCAAAGAGACAATTTTTTTTTGCACTCGATTAGATCGAAAATCACAGTAGTAAAGGAAAAGGCAGGGAAAAAAAGAAAACGCGAGAAAGAAACAAGGAGGAGAACAGAATATATTTATGGTTAAATTCTTAGTTTTTATATTGGCTACTTTTGTTTGGCCCCAGAAATACTTCCTGACAGAAGAGGTCGCAGATTCGCAGTAATGCTTTCAAAAATCCTTTTAGACAAGTAGAAATGTCAAAACGAACTCTTTTGTCATTATATAATTATTATCATTTTACCTTTTAGGCCAGCTTCTGTGTAGGGATTTTAAGATCCAGGTGCTTCCTGCAGCCTTCTATCTGAAGGAGAATGTTAATTTGAAACAAACTGCTACAGGAAAAATGAGCTATCAAGGTTGTTGTTGCTGAGAAGTGCAGCATCCAGCACTGTTGATATATTGATCGAAAAAAGTGATTAACTGCTGTTCAGTATTTCTATTATATATTGAATATCACCGTTGCTGTTTTCTCACGTAAAGTGTAAGCATCTATGCTTTAAGGCTTTTGCATCGAAAGTTAAACGAAGATATTTATTTTTGGAGTCACTTCAGATGTATGTAGTAAATAAAAGGACTCATACATTGTGATGAAATTTGAAAATCAAATAAAAACTCTTAAGATCACCACAAGCTGATTTTGATTTCTTCATGTGTATAATACTTGGGTGATTTTACGCATGTTTGCAAGGGCAATTGTTTGGTAAATTCTAACGTCCTCCGAGTGAGGCGTTTTCTATTTACAAGGAAAAGATCAATAACAATGAAATTATAGTTCAAGTCAGGGTAAGGGTCGGGCATTTCGATTCTGGAAGGGAAGAAGCATACTATTTAAGTTTTTAGCCAAAAATGCTGTTGTTGCATCCTTGAAAAGTGATCTCGCTAAATATTCTTTAATAGCTTTGAAAGTTTACCCTGAAGAGATAAAAAATCAGCTTTAAAGATATCAACTTCTACACTGAACTAAGTTTATTCTGCCAAAATGTTAAAGAAAAAATGAGGGAAATCGACAGACATTAATGCTGAATTCCGCTGAAACCAAAGTGAACGACTGTCAAACGAAACACGGAGTCGAGGTTTGGGCCGGGATAGCCTGTGTAACAGTGGTTTCTGTTTCCTTAAGCTAAACGGGAGACGTGCGAGGACGAGCAAAACATAGCAGTATCGGCGAGAGGCCTTGTCCTTCTGACCCCCGTCGACATTTTTAGCTCCTTTTTGCCCCAGTGCCCACACGCGTCTCCTGAGTTTCTCCCGCTTGGGTAAGACGAAGCAGAAACCTCTAGTACCAGGGCCTGGGTCGAGGTCTGTTCTTGCTTAGCTACACTGAATTCCGAAATTTTTTCTGGAATTTTAGTCATCAAAATGAATTTCGGAAAATCGCGGGAATTTTAGGTTGAAATCGACAAACTTCAGAATTGTAGAGCGATTTAAACATTCACCCGACATTTTTGCGGCAAAAACTTTGACAAAAAGTTTCTTGTTGTATTCCTACCGACCAAGAGAGGACTCCGTCCGCTTACATGCTACAGCAGTGTCAAGAGGACTGACTACTGAGCAAAACAAATCAGCGACTTTTCATCAGAGTCGTCTACACTACAACTTATTAGCGGGTATTCACCAAAAGGGGCCCTCCCTATGAAAAAAAAAAGCCGAAATTTTTTGAGAATTTTTGGGAACTTTAGAAAGTTTTTGAAGAATTTAAGACATTTCTAAAAGAATTTTAATTTAAAGCTTTTTTCGGGGAAATTCCGTAAAGGCTTTTAGGCCATATTTTGGGAATTATGCAATAGCTAAGCCTATTTCTAATAGACTATTTTCGATATATTAAAAATCATACTTGGCTCTGGGGTTTGGGGGAATAAAACAAAATAAATACGTTGTATATTATTCATTGCTGAGCCTCAAGATGATTTCTTTTGTTTTATTCCCCCAAGTCTAGCAGCCAAATATGAATTTTAAGATATCATTGGAATTGCTCTATTGTTTGCCGGTTGACACCTTAGTTATTTTGGTTACATTTACATTATAATCACTTTACAACCTAATTCTGGATTTAATCTGTAAGCCTTTACTGGCAAACTGGCTTAACACTAACTTATATCCAGCTAGTCAAGTCAACAACATTTCTCTGAGCCGCCGATCTGATATGTAGTACGTAAGAGAGGATACGCTTCCCGTTTATATCTCTTTTATTTTCTTTTACGACCATTTAACGAGAAGCTGCTTCTTTTACCCACCAAACTTGAGGTTAGAATTAAATAGCGGTTAAATTGGCTTCGGTATGGCATGAAAATTTCAATATCAATCATTTCAAAAAAAGGAGATTTATAATAAGTGATATTAGTTGAAACATACCTGTTGAAAAACGGAGAAAAAAACGCAAACATACAAACAGAGGGATAGACTGAGACAGACCCTGAGCCCAGCCCCGGCCCTGGTCCCAACCCCGAGCACCGGTTTCGACCCTGATTGAGTCTAAAGTTTTGCTGCATGAGACCCGACGTACAACTACTCTTTACTTACCAAATGGGTTTTTGGCCAAGTTTGAGTTAGCTGGAATATGCTCATGTATTTCAAAGAGCTGCAAAAGTGTTTCTTCTTGCGGCCAGTATTTTCCTTTTTTAGCAAAGTGAATTATGAATTACAATTGCTTGTGTATTTTGTGACAATATTTCATTTACGTCTTCCCATGTTTCTGTGCTTACTCAAAGAACACTGGTAATTTCCACTCGACCATATCCCTTTTAAAGAAAAATAAAAGAAACAACTTTGAAATTTTTAGGGTTGTTTTTAAATAGTCAAGTTCAAGTTAAATTTTTTAGTCCTAAGAAAATTAACTGTAATTTTTTTTCTGGCCAGAAAATTAGGGTAGAAAGTGTCAGTTATTGATCCTAACAGTACGAACTCTTACAGACAAGTACGTACACTGTCACGGCGAGAAAATATACGCTTGTTTTGTTGACTTTAGAAAAGCCTTTGACTCAGTCTGGCATGACGGACTTTTATATAAATTATTACAAATTGGTGTAGGGGGGTGTTTCTATAAGTTAATCAAAACCTATATTCAAACTAGGTACGAGTTAAACAAGATGTTTTAGCTATTCACGAGGAGTACGCCAGGGCTGTATTTTAAGCCCCTTACTTCTCAATTTAGTCGTTAATGACTTACCGTCCGCATTTCAAAATACTTTATCAGACCCTATCATCCTTCCAAATGGTACCAAATTAAATTCGCTTTTATATGCTGATGATTTAATTATTATATCACGATCTAAAATAGGATTACAGAACTGTCTCAAAAAAAATGAATCAGAAAAAAAACCTTCAAATGTATTTTTTGATGATTTCCCAGATGTCTATTGCATGAACTTAACAATACCCCAATTGAAAAAACCCACTTGAAATTTTGCAAGCGTTACCTAGAAATAAGCAATGAAGCTTTAAATGTTGCAAGTAGAGGTGAATTAGGACGCTTACCATTAATTATTAATATTTATAAAAACATCCTTTATAATACATATTGTATCTTCTGCGTAAAAACGAGGATACTATTGTTAAACAAGCCTTTCGTACCTCGCTAGAAGTTCACTGTAATGGTAAGAATAGCTTTCACCATAATCTTATGAAAATATCTGAATATTATGACCTGCCTGATTTTGATCCTGATAATTTAAGTGAAGCTAAGATCAAACACTATATAGATATAATAAAACAAAAATATATTACATATTGTCAACACGCAATCCTTCATTTTATAAGAAACTACAATTTTACAGCTTATTTAAACATGATTATAAAACTTCAATTATCTAGACTTAATTAGAAATTCTGCCAATAGGAAAGACTTAGTGAAAATTCGTATCAGTAACCACAAACTCATGATTGAAACTAGAAGATATAATCAAACTTCCCGCAACGATAGATTCTGCCCTATTTGTAACTCTGGTATAATTGAAGACGAATTTCATTTTCTCTTGCATTGTCCAAAAAACTCAATCCCAAGGGAGAAATTCTACAATCAAATCCAACATAATTTTGTCGACTTTAATCAGCTATCTTACAAAGAATTAATAATTAAATTGATGAATTCACAGAATTTTTCCGTAAATTCACATTTGTTGAAATTTGTCTCCTTATGTAATGATTTACGAACTAATTTGTTATCAAATCATGCTGATGACACTTGACTGTAGTAATCACTGCATTGCATTATCATTGTTATAAATTGTAACTTTATGTTAAAGCTTTCTCAAAAATACTTTTTTAACAGGGATAATGCAATGACCACGTTTCACCCTTGCCATACATTTTCTTTTGAAGATAGACAACTCCCTTATATTTCAGAGCAAAAAATGGCTGATCCAGGCCTTAATATACCTGAGATCTGACCTGATCTTTTGTTACCTTTTAGCAGGTTTTACACAGTTGTTTCAATATTACCTCTCCTACAGATAAGCCGCCTCAGTTCTCTTTTTATGTCTCGTTTCAAACACGCGTAAACCAAAGGATTGGCCGCCGAATTGGCGACCAAGAGAACGGTAACTACCAGTGCAACATTCTCAGACACGTCTGAAACAAACATGATTCTCAGGATTAGATAGTTTTTTACTACATTACATGCCAAGAAAAGCACCACTATAGCAATTATGAAGCGTGCTGAGCTGTGTTTATGTCTTATAGGCCGAAATGGTGTCGTAAACAACGCCCGAGTGTGCAGTTCCTTCCTGAGAGACTCCATTGCAGAATTCTGGAGTGACTGCGAGCGAGCTACGACCAGAATACGGACAACAGCATAGACAAGCAGAGATGAGCACAATATGTCAAAACCAGAGACACCAGTTAGACGCAGCACTTTTGAAACAGTGGGTGAGCTCCCGGTGAACATCCCAAGAAAGAGGAATAGCGATATCAACAAGGGAATCAGCCATGCGAACAAGATTATTTTTCCAGCGCGTCTCATGATTATGGAAGTTATGTATCTAAGAGGATGGACGATTGCTGTGTAACGATCCCATGTTAAAATGCAGAGATTTGCCACCGAGGAGTGAACAAGAAACCAGTAAGCAGTTATATATATCCATTTGCTGAAGGTCGTCCCTGCAGTTGGGTATCTTAAGGATGCGTAACTGAATGGGAAAATGATTACTCCTACCCCAAAATCAGCTACTGCCAAGGACAACACGAACCAATTGGACTGGGAATGTAGACAGCGAGTTTTAGCGACGAAAACAACTATGAAACCATTTCCAAGGGCTGTTAAGGCGGAAACCAACCATCCACAAATATAAAACCAAACTTTCATCGTAAAATGACGTTACCCCGATTCACCGCGCATGCAATTTAACGATTATTCTGAGATATTGTAGGTTTATAGTTTATCATCATGCAATACTTATCGCGAGAATGGCCAGAGTCATGACTTCACACCACCATTTTTTCGCAACCATTTATCAGCCGCTTCGGACAATCACGCATAGCATTAAAGACTTGTCATAAAATTATTTTGCATAAATTACTTCTGCTCTGAACACTGAAATTTAACATAGATAATGGCGATAATCATAAAATGATAGGAGGTAGTAAGGTGACCTTGGTTATCTTGCTTCCGTTGCAGCTGTTGCGTGGTGCAGCTGTTTTTTATTCTCTTTTTTTATTCTAAACATGAGTATATGGCCAGAACCAGGAGAGATTTTTTTAACTCTTTCCCAAAAATTAAGAGCATTAGCTTTGATAATAAATGCTGCTCCTTTTCAGCCTCCCATGCAGACGTTCTTAATGTGACGTTCTTCGCATGACGAACCCCTAAGAACGTCTGCGTGGGAGGCTAGCTCCTTTTGTAATTAGGTTTAATTATCACTAGTCACAATGTATATAATTTTTTCTCGTTCTGCGTTATCTTAAATTTGAATATACCGTAAATCCTCTATTAACCCCCCCTCTCTAATAAGCCCCCCCTTTACAGAGGAGGAAAGTTACTAACCCCCCTCCCTCTCTATTAAGCCCCCCTCCCCTCCCTTCCATCCTCATTCTTCACAAAAAAATTAACGTGAACTGATCAGTTATGGTTTATTCAGGCAGGAAATTCATATTGCTTTTGGTCTTCGGGGGCATGACCTCCAACTTCATGTGCTGAACTTGAAAAAAGAAAAAGCAGTATAGCCACCGGTAACCACAAGTCCGTTCTCAGGAAACCTTGCTCCCGTTGCATTTCGCTAAATTAAATAAGCCCCCCTCTCAAAAAAGCTCGAAAAAAATAAGCCTCCCCCCCCGGGACTTAATAGAGGATTTACGGTAATATATTGTATTACTTTATTCTAATTACAATGCACCATTTTCATTTATTTCCTATTTGTTTTTGCTTTTCCGTCGGAGATGTTAGCATAAGTTTATGCTATCTAAATTCGAAGTGAAATAAAGTTTTTGATTGATTGATTGAGTGATTGAAATGCACTCGCCAGCGACAATAGGGAGTTTAAGACCCTGTTTACATGGAGTGGGGGACTCCGGTCTAGTCGGGTAAGTTTCTTTTGTTTTGGGTCCCCCAGAGCGTGAAAACAAAAGAAACCAACCCCAATAGACCGGGGTCCCCCACTCCATGTAAACAGGCCCTTAATACGGAAACGTCCGTGCTTAAAAAGTGAATTTATGTGCTTTCAATCAGTCTATCGCGAATATTCCAAACCGCTTGCTTTGTCAAGTGCAAGCGATCTCTAGCCTTCTGAAGTTAAATTCCTAGGAAACAAATTTAAGTTTAGAAAGAGAAAGGAAATTTCGTCGTCGCTTGACTGTTCACGTCCTTTACAAAACGTGAAACTAGGCATTTTCTCATCTTAGTCTCACAGAGACGGCGAAGAAATTTACAAAAACGTGTGATGCACGTGCAGAGTTGTTGTTTTGCTTATTAAACCGAGTGCTGTTTTGACGTTCTCATCACCGTCGGCGTCATGGCACCTGAGGTCACCTTAAACTATCTAATGGCGAATCTGACACAATTTTCGAAAAATCTCCCGGAGTTTGGCAAACATTCAGTGAGATAACGAGAGGAGTTTCTTGCGGCAAAAATTAATAATTTGGCGAATGAGAGAGCGAATTTGACGACTGACGAATATGGCAAAACGTATACTATTTAAAACTGGGCCAATGTTCTATTGACTTGAAAATGGGGACGTTTTGACGTCATTTATCAAAAACAGAAGAAGATGAAAATAAACAGATACTAATACACTCAGTAATTATTCATCGTTTTTTTTTTGGGCGAATAGAATCCCACAAGAAAAGTAAACTGCTTGAGGATTTTTTTTCTTTCCTTTTTTATTTCATTTCTATTCAAGTTTTTTATATTTTTGTCCCGGAGAAACTGGGATACAGTTTGTTTTAAATACAGTCGAACCTCTCTAATACGGACACCAAAGAGACAGAGCGAAGTGTCTTTATTAGAGAGGTGTTCGTATAAAAGAGGTCACTATGATGACGTCACTTTTATGACGCCATTTACATCAAGTGTTCAGTAACTAAAACCAGGCTCACACTCGTCTTTAAACTGCATTTCAAGTTATTAATTCACAGTACAAAGACACTCTCTTTCAGTAGCATACAACATTGTACATCTCAGCTACAGTCAAATTAATGTTTTAAAACTAAACGAGCTACAGCGCAATGCCGCATGTAAAAGTTGTATTAAACGTAAAGCAAAATTCTGAAAGCGCCTTTCACTTATTTTGCAAGTGCAGTAAACAGTAACTAGAGTTCGGATGTGATCAAAAGCGTTTTACAAAAATTTCGTATAAAATTAAATACAATATTGAATGAAAAAAAGTAAAAAATAAAATTTAAAGTTATTAGCTAAAAAGAAAGGTCTTGATTGAATTTCTTAAAACTATTTAAGGAAGTAACATTTCTAATATGAGCAGGCAGTTTGTTCCAAAGCGCAGGGGCAGCAGCAGCAAAGGAGCGAGAACCAAGTGAAGGCAGCATTTTCTGTGTAGGAGGTAGCAGCAGAATACTGTTGTTTGAGCGGAGACCGTACGTAGATTTGGGTTTGACAGTTACAAGTTCACTGACGTAGGGAGGAGGGAGACCGTGAATAGCCTTGAAAGTGAGAAGCAGGATCTTGAATTGAATTCAGGTAGCTCATCCGAATATGAACAGCTCCAAAACTAGGACCTGCGAGGTAGATAGCCCGCAATAGACATCTTTGGTTTGTAGTTTTGATTTCCTAATGTAGGTCATGTGATAATACACAAAATTAAAGGTAAGGCTGATCGGACAGTATAGATGGGTAATTTATTTGCCCTAATCATTCTCTACCGAACCGTTTCACTCAAATTTCGTCTTATCCCCGTCCATATGTACGCATAATTTAATTCCGTCATTGGGAAAACAAAATCTACAAGCTAAAGAGGTCTATTGTTTGTCTGGTCTTTTGACAAACATTGTCCTACCTAGCCAAGAAACTCAAGCTTGAATTCATGACCCTTAAATTGTGCATGACAAAGGTAGCTATTCCGAGGGACAAGAAAGGCTACTAATAGTTCATCTGACTTCAAAAGTTCTCATATAAACTCCTTACGGAACATGAAAGCGCCGGCTGCATTGTTTCTCTTGTTCTCAACGATAAACGTTGAACACCGTACATATATGTTGTAAGATTTGATGTCATCTTCTTTTCCACTCACTTCACCAACAAATTAAGCCATTAATCAGACTATGCTCCAGTAATCTGACTCTCTTATTCCTAACAAGCTCGGAGAGCACCAACAGATGACGTCACCTACCACGACGTGGAGTGAACAGTGTCCAATGAATGACGTCAGAAGAACAGTTAACACGTCTGTCGGCAACACGTATCGACCCATGACGTATCATGAAACAGTTACACTTCATCGCGAAGCGAGCGAGAAGTGATGCTAACTCGCACGTAGTTGAAATTTTTCACTTCAAGGTGCAACATGTTCTTCTTTAATAACAGCCTCATCCCACGGACCGTGAATATTACTACAAAGGAAAATTAAAGTGAATTTAACTTAAAGAGCCATTCTTAAGATATGAGGAAATATTTCCACACAGTATTTATCTGCAACATGTACACATAAGGGTGCGTCCTCCAAAAAATCAGAATCTAGAATCTTGAATGGGGAAGATTAAGTTTGAAAAAGATAATATTTTACCAAAGAAAATGATCATCGCTGTCTGGGATAGGAACAGTAATTCGGCTGTCTATACTATATGGTTAGATCCAGGAGCCATAATCGGGGTAGGAGACCGCAAGGACGGGGTCCACGCGGTTCCATCGAAATAGCCAAATGTACTATTTTTAGAACAAACTGCACCACCCTCAACGTCACAAATCGCGCAGGAACCTGCAAATTTGCGCGGCACTCGTGTGGAATTTCAGGAGACGGGCGATCGTCTTGCGACTTTACTTGAGTGCTGTCTTAACTTTCCAAGTGCTTAATATCTCGATATACAATGCATGCACAGTGGAAGAATAAGTCAATGTTACATAACATTACTAGAAATACGTTTATCGTAAAACCTCGCATGTATATACAACAAAGAAAAAAAGATTTAAGCCGAGAGTCGGACCCGGGGAAACCTGGACAATCTGCACGGAAGGTCAGCTCCTAGACCACTGCGCCACGCTGCCAAGGATATCGTTAAGTGGGCAAATTATTTAATTTAATGCATTTTCCTGTGAAATTCTGCCGGTTGACGCTGTTTGAAGCTGCTGAAGCTGTACTTATCGTATTACCTCCTTTGTTTTTGTCAATATTATCTCGTGAGCTACTCAAATTACTGTTATTATATATTTCAAAATTTTAAGCGTACGGTTACCTCCGAAGATGTATGTTGAGACATACGAAACGTTAAGTCGGTGAATGAAATTCTGTTTTAGCTATGCGCTTGTTTAGCTTCATGTTTGTCACCGCAGTTTGCGTTTTATTTCTAATGAAAATTCGTTGGCCTAAGACGAAAAGCATTGATTTATGATTTAGACATAAATTGTTGTTGTTGTTGTTGTTGTTAACTTTCCGCCCTCCTTTTCCCGGAAGTTTTTTTTTGTCTGAACGGGATATTCATCGCACGACATCTCTCACCTCTCTTCGTAACTGGATTTGTCAAATTAAAAAAAAAACCTCTCACTATGGTGATTAACATGATCAGAATTGCATTCACACAGTCCTCATCATATTCAGAGTTATTGTCAAAGTGGTTATCCTCACGGTCTTGCCTCAAATTCAGAGGAGGGAATGATGACAGTAATTTCTTACGCCATTTAGTTTGTTTATCCTTTGGGCGGGGCCCTTGCAGCAAAATGTACGCGCGTGTCACACGAGATGGTGCTAAAAATAGCACGTTTGGCTATTTCAATGGAACCAACCCGGCTACTGGAAAAGGTATCCAGTTACAGTCTCCTACCCCGATTATGGCTCCTGGTTAGGCCTTCTGAGCCACTACTACCAAAACAAATAAAGGAGCGCCCCCCACCCACCTCCTTCTTAGTTGGAAGCGATCACGTGATAAGAAAGATAACAATTTTATTCAAGGCGTCCCAGTATAACATTTTTAAATGTTACTTAAAAGTAAAGGGGAGGGTTGGTAACTTACTTTTTCAGTCGCTGCAGTTTGATCAACCAGAATGGACAAACAAGCGTCACTGCGAGATGAACAAGGACAAGTAGTACTGCAAACAATTGGGTCAGCGGCCAAAGCATCGCTATGGCAACAAATACAAGAGTCCACGTCAGCAATATGTCGCTTGAGGGTAGATGCATCTGACGAATGAGAAAAGCGAGACTTAAGAAAAATGCCTTTATCAAGTCACTTTTAATGTAAAAGAAGTATTGGAAAACAGTATATCTGTGGAACCGCTAATACTCGTACAGTGGAACCCGGTTAATACGGACACGAAGGGGACAAGCCATATTGTCCATATTATCCTGGTATTCGTATTAAGCGGACTTTCAGAAAAAACGTCACGGACACTTATTTTATCGATATAAAGACTAAAGCAGGCATTTCAAACGTTGGTCAATTTCTTCGCAGGCTACATTTTATTCATGAGATAAAGACAAAAGACTATGAAGTCATCGGCGTTAATACCGGCGTTAATGCATTTCCCCACAGAATAATGAGATTCCCCCGCATTTTATTCATGATGTAAAGACAATGGGCTACGACGTCACTAATGCATTCCTGCGCAAGTTAATGAGACTCTTCCACAAAAAAAGGATAATTCGGTTCCTACCATGCTCCCAACGCATCGTAAAAATTGTAAAACTTGGATCTTAGATCTTGCAATAGTCTACACCTATAAATCCAATACTTCTCCTGTTCTCGTAGCATGACCACAAAGTATAGTTACAAATACCTTTAACTGTCTTCTAAGAGATGGAAAGAGAGCAAACATCTGCATAGCTAGGATAACAGTAGCGAAGACATGAAAGGAAGAAGGAAGACGAGATGCCAAACAAACAGAGGCGAAGATAGAAGCGTTTAACGAAGTGGACCTTGAAACTCTGTAAAAAAAGAATCATTGATAGTTACTTTAACAAGCATATAGTTTTCATTTCATCATGTCAAGTTTAGCTGATGTCATGTTTTGTTAATTAAAGCTACACTCATCGTCAAAGTGTTGGGAAGGCTGCTACTTTTAAACTCTTTTTTTCCTTCTTCCCCTCGCCCCTGCCCCAGTGTTGAACAAAACTTAGTAATAAATGTTTGTGCGCATAATAATAATGCGAACAATAGAGAGGAAAAGGGTGACGTCACTTTACCATGGTAGCAAAATTTCTGGATCACAACAACGGGGAGTTTTTGCAACGGCGACGGCGAACAGCAAAAAAGCAATAGGTTTAGATTGGCAAAAAAAACCAATCACGCTTTTTTGTACATTTCTTAGCCCGCCGTTGTTGCACTACTGCGACATGAAACTTCCTAATTTCATGCGCCCGCTTTATGGAGTAGGTGAGCACAACACAAAAATTTTCTCTTTCTTTTTCTAACTTAGGTATGTTTCTTTTGGTTTCACCCCAGAAAATTTCGCCAGCATTTGACAAATTAAATGAATTTAAATAAGATCGATGAAGTTTGAAACAGTGCGAATCCACTTTTTAAGTGACGTTTTGGTTTGTTGTCATCCAGAAATTGTGCTACCATGGCAACGTGACGTAATGACTTCTCCTCTCTCTTATTGTTCTGTTATATTCCAACACTGAATACGGGAAACAGGGGATAAGTGAAAGCGAAAACCAACTTATTTGAACATTAAATTGAACTACTGTTAAGTTGTACAACCTTCCCAACTACTTTTGTCCGGGATTGTAGGTTTACAATAGAGGAGATTTTACCAGGTTCGTTACGAATGCGAAAACCTTTGGCGCTGAACTCGTTTCGCATTTACACGCAAATGCGTGAATCCGAAATATGGAAACGGGGCTCACTCGCGCTCAAGTTGTCGCCAATTGATAGAGAAAGTGGCAAGACATTTGTTAGCCAATCAAAAATCATAGTAATGAACAAGGCAAGCGAAATTCCTATGGAAAACCACTGCCACCATGTTATATTAGAACTTTTAAGTTCTAAAAAAAAAGTGAGGTCAAAATAAGTTTCACAACACGGCCAAAAACTGTCAAAGCCTGTTGTTGAATGGCTTAATGTGATATAACAAGGGGAACCGAAAAAAGACCTGTCTCTAAAAAGTTCTTGATAACATTGGCAAAGAAACTGACGTGAAGAAAAAGTTTACCGAAAAGTTGAAATACTTACATAGCGGCGCGTGTTCCGTAATCGTACAAAAGTAAGTTCATGGCAAGCATGAAAGTCTGCAGAATAAAAGAGAGATTACATTGATTCATAAGAGACACCACAATTAATGGTCCCCTATTATTTAAAGTCATCTCTTATGTCTACAAGAAAAACTATAAAATGTAGTGGTTCACTGTGACTGGTAAAGAATCTCAACAAATTAATACTACGGTATACTAATATTAATATCGATTTTAAATCTTCCTACAAGTGTCTAAACCCACAACAAAACATGTACAATTGACCGTTCACTCGAGCCTTCAATAAGAAGGGACATCATCGTACATGTAAAACACTTGAGTTATCTGGTAATAGGAAGAAATGATGGGAGATTACAAAATAAGAACCCTTTATTTACTACACAGGCTGGGTGGCGGGAGAGGGGGAAGCGGGGCTGCTCATTTAGTTCTTGTGTGATGGGTGGGGTGCTGGTCTCACTAAATAATGTAAGGACAATAATAATATTATTATAGACATGTCAAGAATACTTGCCACTTACTTTCACTTTGGTGCGGGTTAAACGAAAAATAAAACCAAAAAGGAGTGTTTTAATGGTTGGTTATAATACACTTTTTTATAGAAATCAGCTAGGATTCAAATTATTGAGGGTACAATTACATCGAAAGTTTGGAGCAAACTCAGAGGAGATCAATTTAAGCTCAGGTTAGCACAAGTTTTGAGTTGCACAGGGTTGGAGTTACAGGGAGTCAACTGAAGTTACAAGTTTCGCCAGGAGGGGATTATTTTTTTCACTTTGTCTTGTGCAAGGATTTCAGGGTTAGAAAGGGAGAGAGAAAGACAGTGTTGGAAAGGTATTTGTTCTGACTTGTATTACTTACAGTCATGGCATAGATGGTGTCTGTGCTAATAGAATCAGTCAAGGTTTTCAACACTGGAGATAACAAAAGTACAGAGACTAACACCAATATGCAACTTTTTAAGTCATCTAATCCTGGAACAAAACACAATCAAGTGTAATTATCACAATGGCAATTATTTCTGTCACAGTGGATGCAGTAAACCTTTGTTGACTTGAACTCAAATAACACAACTTCCCGGCCATTTAATTGAATTAAATCCTTTTGGCTTAGCCTGTTCACAGACCCCCTATTTTCTCTTTAGGGACTGTTGAGCACATTTTTATTATAAAAATATAAAACTGTGGAGAAAAGAAAATGCACATGGCGGCACAATTTAGTTAGATGATCCTCCCCAACAATCCCACATTTCATGTTTTTTTTTTGTTCTTCATTCTTAAGAACTCATTACAGTTATAACATAAAGTAAATTAAATACCTACTTTTTTTACTGTTGTTGTATTAGAGTTCCATTGTCCAATGCATCAAACAAAACATAACCAACTAACGTCAACACAGAGGAAAGCACAACTAAAAACTCATTACAGTTATAACATAAAAAAATCAAATACCTACTCGTTCTTTTTGAGTGTTGTCTTAGAGTTCCATTGTCCAATGCATCAAACAAAACATAACCAACTAACGTCAACACAGAAGAAAGCACAACTAAGATGGAAGGAGACAGGAGTCCAAAATCCATATACACAAAAGCTGCTACAAATATGCTTACACTAAGGGAAAAATGAAGCAAAATCAGTTCTTAATTAGCTGGATTGCAATGTTTGATGGTTAAACTTTGAAGGTATAGTAACTTTAATGTACTATTACCTTTTCATAATCATTTTTGTAATACTAAAACCACAATTTCAAGAATGACCTCTGCCCTTTCACAAAGCCTTTATATGAAGCTGCCTGATGCAGGTAAAAATTAATGTCATTTGTAACAATGGCTTGCCATTTTTTAACCTGCAGTGTGACTGACAAAATAAAGAATTCATTCATGCAAAACTAAACATTCTACTCTGGTTCCTTGGAGGCTATTCACTGCGGGCTCCTTACATTTCCACACTTCCCATAGAATATAATACCGGTCCATTATTACAGTGTACGTAGTTACACCACTGTAGTTTAAAAAGGTATAGAAATTTCTACCATGAAAATTGTTGTCTATTTGATTTATGCAATATGTTTTTAATTGGAAAACCATGTATCCATGTGCAGGAAAGACAGATGAACACATATTGCTTAATCATTACAATATGTCAGATTCATGTTGTAAACTTCTTTCAGCTTTCATAGACCTCAACTCTTGACCAATCACTAGTGCAAGAAAAGAACACTTCGTTATTGTAACACATGACTGTGTTGTAGCTTACAAAAATTACCTGCTAAGTTGTTGTGACACAGCTCCAGATTCCAGCACCACTGACCAGAATTGATAGGTTCTCGTATTTACTGCACAAAAGATATAGAAAGCAAGATGTATGATACATGGAAAATCAAATGCAATAGTCTGCTTTATCAACGTTACAAGAATTAAATCACATCCTATACAGTAATTTTTTCTGTTTTATCATGTGCTAGCCGGGTAACTAGTCTAGGTGCAAAGTTAAACAAATACTCATAGTTACCCGGCTAGCACATGAAAATAGTTCACAAATAAAAAAACAAAAAAATTAATGCTTAATGAGTTTCTTTATATACAATGAAGACATGGCTACAGTCAAACCTCTATGTGCAACCACCTCTCATAAGCGGCCACCTTCCATTAGCAACTGCCTATCCAAAACACCAAAACTTTCTGAGTCAAAGCCTTAAAGTCAGAACCTCTAGTAAACAAACACCTCCCGTAAGTGACGGCAACCACTTTTTTTAATGATTTTCCATTGTTTTTAACCTCTTGTAAGCAACCACTTGACGCATTCTCTGATCTAGCTACAGTCAAGGGACATAAGTATTCGTCACTTTCAAAAAAGACGCGTGAAATTTTTACCCCCGTTGTGCACACTGTCAACAGGAAAATATGATGCAGGGTGCGCGTTTGGTCAATAAAGGCAGGAAAAATTAGCAAAAATAGAAACAAACAAACATCTGTCCAAGAGCACGAAAAAAACTGCACAGTTCCTGAAAGAAAAGAAATAAGAGCTGTTTGTGTTTTGACACCTCGCTCATTTAGTCATTCACAGGAAAAAATAACGGATTCTCATTTTTGGATATTTTAGGGTATTTAAAGAATACCCATAAAAATCCCAAATTTGGCAAAGTGAGACAAGTCCCAACCAGGGAATTCCCAACTAAGTTCCCACGTTGGGACTTGTCTCACTCTTCCAAATTTGGGATTTTTGTGGGTATTCTTTAAATACCCTAAAATATCCAAAAATGGGAATCCGTTATTTTTTCCTGTGATTCAACATTAAGTTCAAGGTTAGGTCGCTAAAAAGGGTCATATTTTTTTTTGTTTTGCTAATGAGAATTTATTTTCAGCTCTCATGAGTCGAAAAGGTGCTGAACTGTCCAGAGCGACAAACAAATTAATTATTACTCTGTCGGAAATATCCGTGCAAAACAAAGCGGAACTGTCAAGAATGTTGAACATTCCAAGAACGACTATCACGAGCGTTCTAAGCAAGTACCGAAGGACTGGCACAGTGGAGACTTTGATGCGAAGTGGCAGGAAAAGGAGCTTCACAAATAGAGACAGAAATGCTTTCAAGCATTTGGTCAAAAGTAACAGACGACTTACCTCACAGGACATTACTGCAAAACTAAACGAGTGCAAAACAAATACTTTCAGCCAGAAAACTGTGCAAAGGGTATTGCATTCGGAAGGATATAAAAGAGGGTTAGCGAAAAAGAAAATGGTGGTTCGGGAAGCGAATCAAAAAAAGCGAGTCAAGTGGTGTCAAGAGCGAAGAGGTCGGACATTAGACAACCACTGGAAAAAAGTAATATTTTCAAATGAAAGTCAGATTGTGCTTGGTACAAACAACCGTGTTTACATTTGGCGAAAAGAAGACGAAAAGTACAACCCACATCTTATTTGTTCTCGCTCTGAACGGAAGATAAGTTTGATGGGGTTGGAACTCTGACTGCAGTTGAAGGCAACATCAACTCTGCCAAGTACATTGACATCCTAGACAAGAACTTAAGGCCAGTAGTTGTCTCGTATTTTGAAGGAAAAGAATACTTGTTCATGGATGACAATGCGCCTGTTCACAGACCCAACACTGAAGAAAATTATAAAGATCAAAACGAAGTAACCTCAATGGAATGGCCAGCAAAATCACCAGATTTAAGTATAATAGAAAATATCTGGCTCTACAAGAAGAGAGAGCTACAAAAGTCCGCGGTAGACATCACTACCAAAAATGATCTTCTGCGTGAAATCCAGAGCGTGTGGCGGAACATCGAATTGGATTATATGAGAAACCTTTACCAGACCATACCTGACCGCCTAAATGATGTAATTGAAATGAAGGGTCATCTTACTAAACATTAAGGTGATTTTAAAGTTAGATTTGCCGTAAACGGTGTTAAAACTAGCACGCGTAAAATGTAAACAAATGCCGCCATATTGAAAGTGACGAATACTTATGTCCCCCGACTGTATGTTTGCTGTGCGCACTATGCTAATTAGAATTAGAATATGCAAAGAACTTTAGTACCAACATGGAACTACACATGGTGTAACTTAGAAATTGCATGCAATAAATCATCTTCCATAAAATAGATGTGAACAGACCTCTTCTCAGAAGTTGCCTCCCTGTGGTTCGATTCTTGTAAGTGACCACAAAGTCTTTGCATTTTGGGTGGTCGCTTATGGGAGGTTCAACTGTATAAAACTTTACATCCAATTTTTTAAGACCAAAATAACTCCAAATCTAAATATTAGTGCAAGAATGAGTTGAATCTCTATATCAGAGATTTTGGAGCCGTTCTAGTAGGGGTAGGGGATTGGGAGGAAGGGGAAAAAAGTCAAGTCATATTTATGACCTCTATTCGCACATCCGTGAATACTGTTTAATATAATTAAATATCACTGGATTTCAGAAAACTCACTTTTGTACAATTGAGGTCATTCAACTAACTGTTAATGCATGATCCTGCCCAGTAGGATCCCTGAACACGATTTATTATCGCTGATCCATTCAATGGGTTGGGATTGCCATGTTAACTTACTGCAATTTACACCTCATTCACGTGATCTGTGATGGCTAATTTTTTCCCTGTGCATGGGTGATGGCAGATAAAGAGTAAGCATAATAATAATAATAATAATGATTGGTTTATTCAACCTCTTTGCAGCATAAACTGAATTACAAGGCGGGTCAAGCATGATGCATGACAGGTCCCCCCCCCCCCCCCCTTGCTACCCTTCTATTAAGGAAGTATTGAGATGTAAGTATTAGTACATTATATGTATAAGCATTCCTTTCATTTTCCATACAGAAAACTTTTGACATTAAAGCGTTAGTTCTTAACAGACTCTTACCTTGTGTACCAAAGGCAAATAGCTAAAAATGAAAGAGAGCATCGTTTGCTACCATTTTGTAGTGCTTAACCCACAATTTGATAATTATAATTATTCCGTTTGAGTTTAAATAAAAATTGACTTGACTTGACTTGACTTGACTTGAGATATTGGTTGACAAACTATAAAAAACCGATCGATGTATCATGCTCAATGCTGTCAGTGGTGTTTATGTCACTCACACATAACTGTCACTAACCAGCTAACGTCCTATAATTATGTGCTACAAGACCATTTAAGTTAAACACACTTACAATTTTTCTTCATTTCATCCAGAAACGACTCGTCCACATAGTTGTCTGGAACGCCCTGGTCTTCGTAAAGCACTTTTCTCCAGGGTTTCTTCGCTTTTATTTGTACTGGGATGGAGTTTATATCCATTCCAGTGTCACTGACCATAGTTTGAAGCACTAATGCACACTGCATCTTCCACGGGAGACGACAAGAGTTTAAAAGAAAATTGGAGAAAACGGCCCTTGATCTTCTGCCATCTTGGAATGTACACACATTGCGGATAATTAGATGTGATGTACATGACCATAGTATTGTTTCTTTGTTGTACTGCAGGCTCATTTTCTCATTTTTGGTGTGACATGATATGATTACTGGGCTTCAACACAAATTTGTTTGTGCAAATTTGCAGACTAAACGGAGAGAAAAGTTTATAGATTTGCCTGAGGAGTGAAGTAACGGAGCACAAGACAACAAACGTCGAAATGTGGGAATCAGCGCGATAAAATCATGTAAAACTCATCGCTTCCGCGAATTTGTATCTTTTGAAGATGGCGGGCATGTTAGAAGAGCACAGAAAAATTCTCCAAAGACACCGTGTGGACCTTATTAAGGACTTGGAGCCTTTGAAGGTGTTAAATGACCTGTCTGAATGTCTTGATGAAGATGACAGGGAGGCTGTGAAAGCTAAAAGTACGAGAGGAGACCGTGCAGAAAAATTAGTCGATATGATTCCAAGAAGAGGACCGAAAGCTTTCCAGTGTTTTGTTGCTGCTTTGTACAAGAGACAGCATCATCTGGCCATGCCTCTGATAGAAGAGTCAGGCATTGATAGTTCGTCTTTTGGGAAAGGTAAGGACATTTTGTTTTGAGTTTTATTCCCCATTCCAGAAACTATAAGGGGAAGGTTGTAACAATGTAACGTCGACCCAGGGGAGGTTTTGTGTCCAGCGGTTTTAGTGAAAACAAGTGAGGGTTGCTCAGTCTCGTGGGCTCAAAAACCTCCCTTTGGTCAATCTTATTATGTATTTGTGACCTTTCATACGAAAACGTGCTATAATGACTTTTCGTTAAACGGGTGAAACGAATGGCCATCGAACGGGTTACAAACGGGTCACCAAGCCGTTTTAAATGGGTTTCAATGAGTGTTCGAACGGGTGATTAAGTATTCCGAATGGGTAGCTTAGCCGTGCGAACGGCTCGGGGAAAATTGGGAACAGGTAGCCTAACCGTTCGAACGGGTCATAGAACATTCCGAACGGGTAACCAAACCGTTGGAACAGCTCATAAAAAATTCGAACAGGTAACCAAACCGTTCGAACGGCTCATAAAAAAATTCTGAACGGATATCTAAACCGTTCGAACGGCTCAGAAAAGAATTTCGAACGGGCGATCTAAACGTTCGAACGGCTCATGAAATCTTGGAACGAGCAGTCACAAACGGCTTACAAACTTGATGATTGTAATTTGTTTTGTTTATTTCGAATGGTTCCGTGCCGCTACACATCTCACTTAAAATTAATTTCGAACGGATGGCTTTCAATCGTTGAAACAGCTCCTGTTTATTTCACCACTGAAAGCCAAAGAAAGTAAACTTGAAACGCAGAGAACATTCGTAACTGAGTTTGCTGAAGCGGAACTCGAAAGAAAATCAACGGCGAATGCAAACTTGCTAAGTATTTGCGGTGATGTTTTTCCTAGCTTTCTTACAAAACAAATACCCAACTTTTTGTTTCTAACATTCCTGATACATTTTCAAATTGTATGCTATGCTGACCTTTACTTTTGACTACGACTCAAACGCATTCCCATCAGTTCAGTTCGGTTGCGTGTCACTACACCGATCTCGATAAATTTGCATACAAGTTACACAATAGTGACAGGTAACACAACACCAGCCAATCGCATCAATCACTTTGACAGTCGGACGCAAATTCAGGGCGTCAAGACAACATGGTTGTTATCTCAGTGCATGCTGCCATCTTAAAGATTTCATTCAGTAGATTCTCTTCGAAATAAGAGGAATGCACAAGGCAGACTCATGAGATTTCGGTGTTCAGAAAATCATTTATGTGCTTATCACAACCATAGTTATACCGGTAATGTTTATTAAACCGCATTGTAACACAGGGTAGAATTTAAGAAGTTCGCTTCTATAGGCGACTGATTACCGCATGTTTAGAAGCGCAAAATAATTATATTTTCTGCAAGAGCTCTTCGCCTGTAATAATAACTTTGCGAGAAGTTTACAATATCGTAGTTTTCATTTGTAATTTACTCCCGCAGCGGTTCAGACTGTTCAAGTGATCGGAGGGCTTTTTTTCCGTAAGTGACATCGTGAAGAACACGCAAGTACGCGAACAGGAAAAGACAACCGCTCGTATGACTGTCTCATACTCAAGTCGTTCGAACGGTTGGATGTTTTTATCGAACAGGTGAGCAAGTCGTTCGAACGGTTGGACGTTTTTATCGAACGGTTGAGCAAGTCGTTCGAACGGATGGATGCTTTTACCAAACAGGTGAGCAAGTCATTCGAACGGCTGGACATTTCTATCAAACGGGTGATCAAGCCATTCGAACGGATGCAAATTTTTTTGAACGGATGACCCAGGTCGTTCGAACGAATGCAAATTTCTTTCAAACGGGGCCTAAACGGAATTTCGTTCGAAAACAGAAAGCCGTTATGGCACGTTTTCGCGTGAAAGGTCACATTTGCCAAAATGGAATGGGTACAAGCTTTCATCGCAAGGATTTCTGGGATGGTTTTGGTACACAAGCATTACTTATGACTGGTTAATGGTTGCCTTGAATAATATCAACCCATCATAACTAATGCCAATCCCAAAAGTCATTGTACCGAATGCTTGTACCCATTCCCCTTACAGTTTCTAGAGTGCATTATGGAATGCCCCCTATTGAAACAATATTATTTGTAAGTGAAATTGGTGAAACATTTTTTATTGTTTTGGAGACAATAGAAGAATAAAAGATACCAGAAAGATCAAGTTATGCCAGGGTGCAAAGAAAGTCAGTTTTACAGCCTGCCATTCCGGCAAGCTGTAGCTAGTACGTACTAGACCACAAGTCATTTCTATTAGCCCTCAAACCCTTTTTGATTAGCAGGATTGAATACAATCCTTCTGTAAATTGAATTTCCCCTAAAAAGAGCACTTGCCCATCGGGCAAGTTAAGAAATTAAATCACTAACCCGATGGCAAAATCCACTAGCCCCGGGCTATGAGACATGACTTTCTTTGCGCACTGTATGCAGTCTTAAAGTGTTTTGCGTGATTTTATTCAGTTTTAGCATTTGTCATAACTTTTGTGCATTGAAACTTTGGAATAAAACATGTGAAGCAAGGCTTAAAAAATCTTGTTAGTCAAAATAAACCGGGTGCCCTAATAGGCAAGCATCTGAGAAATCAAAGGTGACATTTTTGTCTCCAGCGAAATCTGCTGAATGAAGGGTAATTTGCATATATAAAAGTGCAAGTGAAGCGAAATCCGCCATGGTCGTAAATGTAATGTTTCTTCAAATTTTTTCCTTCTGAAAGCGTAAGTTCACATGAAAGAATTGTGCTTTCATAAAAATTGTATAAAATGAAATGAAGCAAATTGAAAAGTTGTAAAAGTGCCTGGATATTTCAGTTTGACGGAAAGGATAGGTGATTTGCATACTGACCAAAACATCTTCAAGCACAATTTGAAACCCTTCGACTTCATGTTTGTTTTTCGTGCATTCTATACATTATACTGGCTTAAATCGTGAAATGTTTTATAAAGTCAAAGTATTTTTCATGGAGGGAATGCAGTTCCTAAAAAAAAGAGAGTAGAACAAAATGATCTGGCCATAAAGTTAAATTATCTTTGTATTGTGGAAACAGTAAACTAACACTTCACTCAGAGAGTCAGAGGACGCGACATGTGTCAGCATCCTTTGTGAGCCTGCAAATGGTCATGGGACCACAATTTTATGGCCAGCACTTTAATCAGTATATTGTTTCACCTGTGAGTCATTTCATAATGTCCTGTGTACTGATGTCAAAATGTGTAGAGATCATCAAAAATTACTCCAAATACGGAAAGTTTTATACAAGTTAAAATTTCAATGATCAGAAGTATTACAACTGATAAAATTCATGAAGCATTTCTGTGGCAATTCGGCCCTTTAGTTGTCATAATTATTCAGGTAATTTTGTTTCTGAGGCGTGCTTTTGCTCGGTCATAGTACTGTAGTAGTAGTAGGAGTAGTACTAAACAAAGCACCAAAGTCTGGCAGTCAATCTTTATTAACTTTACTTTTGCGGTTGCAAACAATTAAGATATTTAGGAAGCAAGGTATATCAACATCATTCAGGATGTTATTCTTCTTTGATCAAGAATTTTACTTCCCCAGGCGTCACAAGGGAAGTTTTGTTCTTAGTCCATTAACTGACTAACAAGAATTTAACGAAACCACACCTAAAACTAATAGTAAATGAATTAAGATATTAGCAAACAGGACACTAGTAAAATTAATGTCATCAATGTCAAAGACTTTGTAAACGTTAAAAACATGCTGGAAAGAAACCTCTGCAAGCAGGGTATTCAAACACATGTTATACTTATTAGTCTTGACTAATGCTCTTTTGGTTTTGACAATACATGAATTTAGCTGACGTTGGAATGACAGATCAACACAAGCAGATACTCTTGAGCAATTCTGAGAATCTCCAACAGATGAACCTTAACAAAGTAGCAGAGCAGCTTCATTCATGTGGTTTACTAGATGACATTGATAAGCAAAATCTTTTATCTGATACAAGACAGCCATCACAGAGAATAGACATGTTGTTGAGTGAGATTCTCCCCAGAAAGGGTCCTAAAGCTTTTGAAGATTTTGCTCGTGAACTGGAAAAAGATCATCCAAAACTAGCTCAGAAATTACTGGAGGATGCTGGAATGGCAGGTACTATACACCATTATATCATATTAAGTATTTTTAGACAATCAAGTAAAATTTTCCTGTCCCATTTTGTATGTTGTGGTTCACTATTTCATTAATGATTCTCTTCTTTTTTATTGTCATTTATTTTGGGTATGGATATGTGTGATTAAGAATTTTGAGACAAACAAAACAAGATAAGATTAAAGGGAGTGCAAAAATAGCGATGAATACACTGTATTAAAGGAAGCAAAAAATAAAATGTACATACTTTGAATGGCAGCTAAATAAAGCATTAATCATGACAGAAAAGAACATGCTATTTCTCTCACTTGATACTTAATATGAAAAGTCACACCTTGCTTAGAAAGTGTTTGATATTTGTTATTATTAAGCAAAATGAATAACCAGCGAATCTCTGATGTATTAATTTGGCTAGGAAAATCTTTAAAATGGGTGAATACTAATTGATAGCTGAGGACATTCACACTTTGCCGTGATTTACTCTATGTGAGAAGTGTTAGAACTTCTTTCATAAGTGTCTCAGTGGTTTGTCAAAATTGGTTAGTAAACAGGCTTGGAGTATTAAAAGCTTACATGTAGTCACCAAGCAGCTGAGCATCGTAGTCTATTATTTAAAATTATAAGATCCATCTGATATAAAAAACTTTCATGTAGACAATGAACTTCAAAGTGAACATGATCCTTGCAGTTGAATGAACAACCTAAGTGGCTGAAAAAGAACCTGAAAAAATCCAGGCTTGAGTGGGTATTGAACCCTGACTTTTGCGATGACTAGATGCAATGCTCTATCTATTATTAAAGCTAATCACACTAACTGGAGAGCAGGCCATTGTGAATTCCTAATATACCTGATGGTGGAAATGAAATGAATGGACGTATACATGACTGTATGAAATGACTCATATTTTGAGCTATGGATAAAGATTTGAAACTGAGCATGATCCTTGCAGTTGAATGAACAACCTTAGTGGTTAAAAAAGAACCTAAAAAAAATTCGGGCTTGACCGGGAATTGAAGCCTGAGCTTTGCAGTGACTGGATACAACACTCTATCCATTAAGCCAACCATTTCCACCATTGGGTGTATTATAAACTCACAATGGCCTGCTCTATAGTTGGCTTGTTTATATTAGAGCGGTTTTCACTTGACTGTTGTAAAACCAAAACCAAAGTAAATACACTAGCCAACCAAAGGGCGTAGTAAAACCAAAATCAAAACCAAAACCAATCCCTTTCGACAGTCAAGTGAAAACCGCTCTAATGAATCAAGCGCTGTGTCTGGTCATCAAAAAGGTCAGGTTTCACTCTCAGTCAAGCCTGAATTTGTTCAGGTTTCTTTCATACTGGTCTTGTCCAATACTCCAACAAATTAATGCATGGCTCTGTTAAATTTCTCATTGTTTTGTTTTGTTCTTTATCAGTTGTTATGCTTTTGTACAGTACTGTAATGTGAAGACAATATAATATACAGGTGTACAATGCCATACATAAATTTGTTGGATTATTGGACAACCCTCATTCCTTTTCAACCACTTAGGTTGTTTATTCAACTGTGGGGATCTTTTTTCACTTCGGTATAATTATTTACCTCCTGTTCAAAATATGAGTCATTTCATACATGTATATTTCCATTCATTATGAACTTCCTTTGGATTACCGACACTGAGTGTAATGCATGAACAACATGTGAAATGTTTGTTTCATAAAGTTCGTGCTCCATGCAAAAGCTTCCCTCCAAAGAGGAAATGAGGGTGGCAGGCGACATTTTGCATAGAGCCCTAGGATATTTTTCTCAATACCGTACTTCTAATGAATGAGTGTACTCATACTTTTACAGGGGCAGGTTCCTCCCTGCTTTTGAGAAAGCCTACACCTCCGCCTATACAAGACACTGGTCACTTTACATTAGACTCCCTAGTACAAGATATTTTGGAAGATAAGCCTGAAGTCCTTAAAGAGTTCTGCCACTCCATGGATAAAGAAAATTTGTTTGGAAATGGATGGAAGGGGTTTGTCAAAATTTGTGAAATCAAAATTTTCAAATGTGCCCCCCAAATCAAGAAAATTTGCATAACCTTTGTTTGTCCTTTCTCCTGTGTATTACAGCCATTCCATGAGAAATTGAAAACAATGCTTATGCAAAATTGGGGGGGGCAAATAAGGTGCATTATGGGAAATCTGGAAGTGGCATATTATCATGCTGCTTTAGATAATTTGAGTTTAACCCATTTGCCTGAACCTTTGTCAGGTCCTTTGTCCCTTTCTCCATGTGGTCAAGGACAACTTTTTACAACCATTCCATGAGAAATTTTCAAAATACAAATGCTTATTCAGTCAAGGACACCGCAAAAAGCAAAAACCACGTGACAAGGACCTGAAAATCTCCACGAAAATCTTGTTCCATTACCCACCTACCTTTCCTTTCAAATCCTAAGATCCTAAAATATCCTAAAACTCTTCCCATGAAGCTACTTTAATGATAATTTGAGTTTAAAAGGACACAAGTTGAAGACATGCAGCCTTGTTGACATTTTTTAACTATTAAGTCTTGTTTACAGTCTTGAGTATTGTAAATTCTTGACAAACTGCATCCTTGAAAATATTCCTTGACCTTGAAAAGAGTTAACTATTTTTCCTGGTCACTTTCATGGATAATACTAAAACTTATGTGTCAAATTCCTGTATGTATTTAAAACTGCATAAAAAAGTCCCGCATTTACTCGATTAAACGACGCCAACTTTTTACCAGTGAACACCGCCCTTGAATAAAGGCCACATCCAATCAGAAGATTGCGGCGTTTATTTGAGGGTTATAAGAAAAAACCTCGGTACAATTTAGTGATCTGCACCATCCAGACAACAACGATGCAATCTCGGCAAAGAAAGGACAACAGTGTTTCTGTGCAAATATCCCATAAGCTTTGTTTAAGGACAATACACTCATTTCCACTCTATAACGATATCATAGGCAGTGAAAAAGTAGCTCAACTACCAACTAAAGCTACTTTGTAGTTAAGCACTCGTGTCATTTTCCTTTCTTAGACTTTACCAAGAGCTTGACCTCCCGGCTGGCAAGGAAACCAAAATGGAAGTAAGTGCTGGAGGGCCAACATCAAACTGCATAAGAGGTTGGGTCTCGATCAAGGGACGCAGTGCTACAGTTCAGGCTCTCCTAGCTGCTGTTAATCGAGCTGAGCGTAAAGATTGTACATATATTCTTGAGAAAAGCCTTGGCTGCCAGTTGGACTACACTGATGCTGGTGTTAAAGAAGTTACAGGGAAAATGGCATCATTAAGTAAGGCCAGCCTTTCGATCAACTAAAATGTGATCCACTTCCAGAACACAGTAACCTGCGGTCAGGCTTTCTTTTTTCGGGGGAAGAGTGAACATTGGCAGACCGGGAAAGGGGGAAAAAGAACTTTCCATTGGCAGATCCAGGGGAGGGCCGCCCCTCCCCTTATTTTAAGACCAAACTGAGTCCTGAAGGGCTGAAAAATTTTTTTTTTGAGGCCGGGCCCCCCAGTATCTCAGGGTGTGGATGACCGGGCCTTCCTGTTATCTGAAGGTCTGGGTCCGCCTTTGCTTTTGCCCTCGCCTCCCAAACAAAAAGGGAAGAACGGCCGCCTGAGCGCTGGTTAAGAACATACTGATGAACTCGTGGCCCTCAAAACAAATTTTAAAAAAAACACAAATACATATAAATAATGGAAGTAATTAAAACTAGCCACGGTGATTTGACAATGAAAATATGAATTATCTAAAAATTAATATAAAATATATGAGAATAAAGTAGAATAGCCTAAGCTAATGCTATAGTAAAGTGATGAACATCTTTTTAGGACTCAACTACGGGTACACTTAATTTCATTGGGAAGTGAATTCCAAAACCTAGTGGCTGATACTTCAAAAGTCCTAGCACCTTCTGATTCTCTTTTATACTTTGGTCAAACTAAATTCAAAGACCCATAACTACTTTGTCTTTCAGTAGAACGTATGTCGATGTTTCGTTTGAGTAATTCTAGCATATAATCGGGACACACCCCGTTCAAACGTTTATAAACTAATGCGCACTGATTAATCTTGACTTTGTGAAAAAAAAGGTAGCCAATTAAGTTCTCCAAACAGATCTACACTATTTGTTCTAGTATCAGCATTGAGAATAACTCGTGCGGCACGCGTCTGTAGCCTGAAGAGCTTATTTAAATTATCGACAGACGTAGAAACCCACACACTAGAGTCATACGTCATGGTTTGTTTTATCATGGCATTGTTATAAAGAATTCGTTGATCTAAAGGTAAATGACACCTGATTTTTTTTCAAAAGAGCAATACCCTGTGTTAGCTTCTTACATAGATTATCAATATGCTCATTAAAATTAAGCTGAGTGTCACTAATTACACCTAACAGTTCATGAGACTGGACTTGTTCGAGTTCGACTGAGTTGACATGGACAGTTAGTGAGGTGCTGCTCATCTTCTTATGTAGACGTTTGCCAGCTACTAACATAGTTTTAGTTTTGGACTCGTTAAGTACCATTTTATTGTCTGTGGTCCATTGTGCAACTTTACCAACATCAGCTTGAAGAGCTTGATTTAAGGCTCCAGGTGCTAATCTTTAAGAAGCGTTAGCACTGATAGTAGTATCATCCGCATATATGTCTGCTGCTGAATGTTCCAGTATCTTTGGTAGATCGTTCATAAATATAAGAAACAAGACTGGTCCCAGGATTCTCCCTTGAGGCACTCCAAGGTTTGCATCACTGAGAATTGAATGACATCCATCGATGTTTACATGTGGTAACCACTCATCGATATTTGAGAGTCACCGATTTTCTATACATTGTAGATTTGATTTGCTAGAAAAGTCCACTTGTCACTCTGGATTTTTTTGTACAACCGCTGCTTGTCATTCTCCTGTACTTTTTTCACGTGGTGTCTTTATTTGTTTAGATCCCAGTGAAGAGAAGAAAGTGGAATTCTTTGGTGATCTTGATGAAACCCAAGCTTCTGAAATTGTCAGTCGACTGAAGACGAAAGAACCGTATACCTTAGAGTACTTACGAGAGCAACTTACCGAAGATCCTGGAATCGTTGAAATGGTTTCTTCAGTTGAACTTGTGCGACAGAGTAAAAAGTACCGCATCCGCAAGTTTCTGGACTCGCTACCGAGCGAAGTACGCAGAGATACTGTGATTACAATTTTTAGGGATGTTTTATCAACTTATAAAGGAGTGACTGGTAAGTGGGTGCAAGAAGTGTAATGTGTATTTGATTCTCTATCTTCCAAGTAGTACACTCCGTTTGCCCCACCCCCACCTAAAAAAATGCTTAAAGTATTGTTTTTAAGTGCTGTTGGCATATTCCCATGGGCATTTGAATACGATAGTGTATGCAAGATTTTGGGAACAAATAAATGAGAAACAGTGATAGGCGTTTGAAATGGAAGGGGAAGGGAATCCCTTCCTTTTCGAGCGCTCGCCACGCAGGCTACTAAGAGGCCTATCGGCAACTGAAGCTCGTGAGATTACACAACCTCACCTTTAATAGTTAATGCATTTTGTGGGGGAGGGCGGGCTGCAAGGGGATGGGGACAGAGTGTATTATGAGGAATTGGAAAATAGAGAAACAAATACACGTCACACTTCAGAATTTCAAAACCTGCTTCTAAGTTTTAAATACGCGCGGGCTCTCCTCGTCCGCAGTCGTCTCTCAGTCTCCTATTAATAGTGAGTTTAAGCAACAGGACGGCTAGCCTGTGCACAGACGTCCCCACCCCTCTCTCTTTTTTTTTTTTTTTTTTTTTTTTTTTTCAGGGGGGGGGACGGCTGTACACAGACCACGGGACCGCAGAAAGAAGAGGACCGCTAAACGCTTGTGTGTGACAAACGTAACAGGACTATAAATTGCGTGTTTTGCGTGACAAACGCGATAGGGCTATTAATTGTGTGTTTTGTCGTGATCTTCTCTCAACATTAAGGTTTTCTAGTCTTTTACAAAAAGATCTGACTAAAGACGAGTGAAGTTCGGCGAAGAGTTGTTTCAAACAAAATTATTGTCACGCTTGTCACACAAGGTTCCTCTCCCGTCCTGTTGCGTGTTAAGTTCACTAATATTGACGAGAGAAGCGCGGTTAGGTAGAGAGCAACCGGTGATGGCAACCCTCGCGCTCCCTTCGGTCACGCTTCTCGCGTTCCGTTCTCCGCGTGCGATTCAATTAGAGACGTCTGGAGACGAGTCACACGTGAAGGCATGACTTGAGAGCGTCAAAATACAATCAGAACTTAGCCTGTGTAGCAAGCGTTTCCTTGCGGTTTCGGACCAAAGAACGAAGAACGAGAGTCAAAGACCGCGCGAAAAATCCCGAAAATCCCGTTCCTCGGTCTTTCTTTGCTCCGAAACCAAACGGAAACGCTTACTACGCAGGCTAATCAGAACTAAACAGTCTGCATTGTTCTGCTCATGTTAACAGAATCTTTATGCATACAGACATGAAAGGTTCCTTCAAAGTTTTTAATTATTCCGTTTACAGGTCCTTTGTTGCCACCGAAGAAATATATCAGAGACGTTGGTTACTCTGTCCGAAGAAATCTCACCAAGGAATTGTGTGGTATGTTTTACCTCAACACGCCATTTGATTGACAATTACTGACCCGGTTTTTGTATGAAGGGAAACCGAAACCTTGATGATTTTTGCTACCTTGCAAAAAACCGAATCCAATGATAAGTAGCTTTAGAATCACTTATGGCAATCGGCAAACGTCAGATTTATTTTGACGATTTCGCAAATAGGAAGTGAGAACATAGTACATCAGCTTCACTGAATTGAGTGTTAAGAATACGGTTACGGGGCATGAGACTGCATTGATATTATAGTGAACTAAGGGGTACAGGAAGCTTTGACAGTAAACGTTTGCTCGTGGCAAATCGCCACGAGCAAAGAAAGAAAATTAGACAAACTGTTCGTACCATTTGGGATTGAGGAGCCTAAAAAAATCAATCGCTGATCACGCTCAGTTTAAAACAAAAGGTTAGGCACCTTAACCGCACGAAAACTTAGACGCCTAGCCGTTCAAAAATTTGAAAGCCAAAATAGATGTTAAATTTGTAGCCGGTGCGGTCGAAAAATTAACCGGCGCGGTGAACACCATAGCAATTTTTGTACTGCAAAGGTATGGTTACATGGACGCATGGTAACTCAGTTGAGAGACGTCATTTAGAATTTGCTAAAAAAGCGCGCTGTGCGTGGCATATGGTAAAACCACTGACCAAAGTGCATCTGGTTAATCAGTTCTATGTGATCAAAGCGAAAAAATTGAACTGTTCCATATGGACGAAGTGTCCGGTCAATTTTGTAAGCGGTCTAAAATTCTTCCGGTGCCGTGTTAACGAAGCCTCAACCCCACCCCTGCCCCCCCTCCTCCCCCCCCCCAAAAAGACTGCAAATAATTTTTTATTAATTAGTACTAAGCCTATTTTGTTTGAGACGTTCCAGTTGCCATCGCCGTCGTTTCCTAGGGTCTGTAATTTTACTTCATGTAAGACTTACTGTGCGCATATCTCTGGTGAATTTCCCATGCCTGCGATCTGATCTTCGACAAAATTTGGATTCCCCTCCCCTCGCCTTCCTTTTGTGTTAAGCGTTTGTTTAGTTTTTTGCTAAAGCACGCCAGCATTTAAAGCTAAATCCCTACCTTCTTATTTTCTTTCTTTCAGGAGATGATAGCTGGAAGGTCTTAGCTCATACACTAGCAATGGACAACTCATCAATCAGATTTCTTCAAGAGCGAAAGGACAATCCGGCGGACGAAGTGCTAAGATTTTGGGAGGTTAAATCCGGTAGCACCGTGGGTGCCCTATATAATATTCTAGTTGAACTCGGGTACCCATATATAGCGGATATTTTATGAATGTTAAGATCCCGTCATCGAACGCATCCCCCACCTTATTACATACCTATTTGTGATGTTCGTGAAAATTTCTGGTAATAAGAAAGGAGCAGTATAGGGCGTTTTTACATGACGTAACGGTGAATTTATAGATGGTTTTTACTCACGTGGTCAGCAGCTATACAAATGGTTTGGAACAAAAAGAAGTTTTTATATGAGAATAAAGTTTTATCCCCTCACGATTTTTCTTTACACAAACATGGCAGCCGCCATTTTACTTTGTTGTACACCAATATGGCCGCCGTGACGTCATGTCAGAACGATGGCCACGTGAGTGAAAACATTCTATTAGTTGTCTTTTTAGTCATCGGTCCTCAAATAAACGGCGTTTTCTGGCAAGCAGATTGCAGCTTTTCGGAAACGGTCCCCAGAGCGGAGTATTTTTTAATCGCCAGCTTTTCGCTTTCGTGTGGACGGACGAAAAGGTTTTTTCCAATACGATAAATGCCATACATTATCCAGCACATGCTCTTTGTAAGGGATGCTATCATATTTTCATCGTTTTAGCTTTTTCGTGTGGACGGGCTAAAAACGAATCGAATACGCTACGTGTAGACATGTATTTTTTCCAAAACGGAGTAAAAAGAATCTCCGTTTTCAAAAATATCCGGATACTTGTGAACGAGGCTTTAATGTTACTTCTACGTTTAGAGACGCAATCCTATGGTGTTACCATTCTGAGTATTTTTTCAGTGAAGTCCGATGATGTGACAATTCCATATGAAAGCTCTTTAGCAGTAATTTGTGCTATTTGTTTAAAGTAGTTTTTCTAAAAGTTTACTTTGATTGTAGGCGCTTTGGAATGAAAGGGTAAAATTGGTCCGAAAAGAGAAAGTTAGTGACTTCTAGCAGTCACAAAACCACAAAACCACAAAACCTTTCTTCCTGATTGATGTTAGCCGTGTTGATTTAAACACGTCTTAGATAAGCTGAACACAGTTTTTTTCAGTACATGTGTTACAACAAAATATGAGTATTTGCTTTGTATTAGATAGAACAAATTTAATTCTAGTGAAGCGTTGATCTTGCTGCAAAGATGGCTTCTAAAATGATTGTAATCGTGACGAAACTGTATTTAGGGACTATAACAAATTCGCAAAGCGAAGAAGGATAATTCATAAGATGTGCAGATGCTTCTGTGTGTCCCTCTTGTTACTAGTATAATTGCTAACTAATAAAGTCACTTCAAATTTTTTGTGTTGTGACTATTTTATTGCAAGAAAAACAATTGAAACTGGAGTCTTCAGTACGAAATGAAAGGAATGGCATCGTACGCAAACAGCATCTTTATACGACGCCCACTTTCGAGTTTCCTGATTGACCTTGTGCTGCTTCACACGTAGACGGCTGCGCAACAGTAGCACTACTACCCCCTCCTCAGGCGCTTCGTTTTTCGCAAAGAAGCGCGAGTGACACGTAAGTGACTGGTGACAAAGCGCAAGGGACCATGGGAACGAGAAAAATGAGAGACGATTGCGCCGTCTCGCCCGTTTTCTTCTTCCTGCCTTCCTTTGCGCGCAAATCTTCAAGGGAAGATGTTTACTTTTACTTGAATTTGAGCTGTGCGCGTGCAACGTTCGTCTGTGACGCAGTTAGAGTTCGTTTCAGCTATGACTCTAAAAAAACTGAGACAACTTCCAAATCAGTTGACATTGGACTGGATAGTCTAAACGGACCCATATTTTTAATTTGCAATTATATTATTCCCTTGGTACACGGCAAACAACCATAAAGAACTATATACAGGTAAGAGAAAGGTTTAAGTTTCACGCAGAAAAAAGTAGAGTGAAAAGAGTTTTAAGGGACTGCACACAAAAAGCAGTTGAAACCTCACAAGATTTTGTTTCTTTGTGGTTTTTTTCTCACTGTTGTGTGTCATTGAGGACTTTTATAATTATTATTTTGTTTTATGTTTGCCCATTCTTTTTCTTAGTGCTTTTTCGCCATGATTAGGATTGAGAACATCGAATCTTTGTTTCTACAACTGGGATCCAAACTCAGAGAGATGTGGAACAAACTCGAGACCAACCTGAAAAATTGGCCAGGATTTCACCTGCTCTTACAAAGCAAAGAATTTATGCAAAACCATCCTCTAATCTCTCTCTTCCTGGTCATTTGTACAATCCTCGGATCTTTTCCTTTCATCGTCTTTGTAGCCTTTGTTTCAAGCTCGTTTATGCTGGTATTGCTGAGTGCGATAACAGTATTTGGAGGAACATTTGCCGTAGCTTTTATCTGTTTGCTTGTTTTTCTCTTCCCGATAATGACCTTTGGAGTAGGAGTGGCAGTATTTTTGTACTTCGCATACTGTCTTGTGGCAACTGTTTTACAAATTGTGAAGATCCTGCTAAGTATAGTTCAGTCCTCTGGATTCAAGAGAAAACTTCGTCGACACGTGTCAGAATTGAGGTCTTCCACGCTGATGCACGATTCCCTGTAGATTGTAGCATATTGCTTTTATCCCTGCAGATAAACCATGCAGTTTTATCACTTACGATAAAAAAAGCATTGTACATAAAATGTTGAAATTTGTTTCAGTATTTCTGAGCCCCTTTAGATATATACCTTTGACAGTATATTTATTTGTTTTGGTACTTTTTAAAATTAAAAGCTGTGAAAATACTTCTTTAAACATGTTTAAAACGTGGTTAGTCTGAAAACTGGTGTTTAGTGGCAACCAAGTGCCAGAGGTTCTGAAGTTTAGCAGACAAACTCGATGATTAAGTCCCGTTCGCGATCAGCACAGCAGTCCGGCTCACTTCAGGCGCGGATCCACACTGGTTTCCACCGTTTTACGGAAATTGGTCAGATTTTTCACAATAAATATATTTTTAATAACAATGAAATACTTTCCAAGTTGAAATTGAGAGATGAAATAATCCGCCGATTTGCAAGGCTTCATCCGAGGAGAATGGAACTGACCAAATACTGGCTGAATGACGTAGAAATCCAAAAAATTTCAAGGTGGAGCATTCCCCGGACCCCCCTATAAGCTTGCGCCTTCGGCGCTCGCTTAGGAAATCGGTCAGTATTTCTCCTACTGTCCCCACCTGCGCTTTGTATTGCAGAAGGCCGGATTCCGATATATTGTTATGACGGTTACTTAGTAAAAGTGGTGAAAACACTAGAGAATTTTTGGTTAGTCAGCTGACTACTGGCGTTTCGTTCGGCGGAGAAGTGACTCATCAGAAATTTCAAAACTTTATTTCTTGATAGTAATTACTCTTCTTCTTCGTCCTCGGTTTTTTGCAGTTTATTCCTTTATTATTCTTATGTTCGAAAGTCAGCCTATTTTCAGTTTTTTGTTTCAACTTCTACACGCCTTCCTATAACTTTATACTTTCCTTACCGCTCTCTCGCAATGCGACGACCAACCGCCCCCCCACCCATGGCCACCCCCTCTTCTTCTTCCAGAGACATACATTATTTGATCTATCTTAAAACAAAACTGAATGCAAACTTCAAATATGTGTAACGGTTCGTGAAGGCGCGTGACGAAGCCCTTTATGCTTCATTGGCAATAGAAATTCCTTAAGTGTGCTCTTGCTGCCAAAAAGAGTGGAGTGAAAACGCGGATTCACTTTCCCCTCAACCTAGTCCCCAGGGCTTTTCCCTCCATTTTTTGAGGGAAAAGCCGTGGGGACGAGGTTGATTTCCCCTCTGTGCTAAAGGAACCACAACCGCTCAACTGTAAAGCCACTTACTGTTTTCCTGATCGCTTGGTGATTCTAAATGAAGATAGAATACTTTTAGACGATTAGCAAGACGGATTTTAAAGAAAATCCAAAAAAAAATTCTGACTGCCTTTTTCGAACTCTTATATTCTCGGCTGCCGGGCATAGCCATTTCGAAAAGCAAGTCACACTAGGAGCCATTACAGGCTCCTGTCCTGGTCACACAGTAAATCAGTTATTGGTTGGCAAAAGTATGAAACTACATATACAATAATGCTGTTAGTAAATTATATCTGTACCCAGATCTCACTCTGTTTTGGCCGTGGGAGATCTGGGTGTGAGATTAAGTGAATTATTCTCACGGTTCAGTCCTAGTTTCTCTAAAAAGATCGTTAAGGTCGCCCACATCAAAATAAAAACAGCGGGAGATTTATTGACATCCACCGAGCGGAAGCGGGCGGTTGGGCTCTTGGCGTCGCACAGATAGTTACCGGTATGTGGCGTAGGCTATTAGGCCAAGGGTGAATACGTGAAAAAATGTTGCTTTTTTATTGCGCTCGCTCTCGCTTACACGGTCCTTTAACTAATCGAAAAAATGAAAAGGACGTCGGGGAAACAGACTATCAATATATACAGCAGAGGAGGAAATAACCTTCATAATTAGGGCAAGGTGGAATGTCAACTTTGTTACAGTGGACTTGTCATGCGACCGTCAGACGTGATCCAAAGGACGACGGGGCAGTCCCTAGCTAAAATAAAAAATTCCTTTTTATCGCTTTAGTTTCCATCTAATTTTACGTACTACCGGAAAGTGCGGAAGGAAACGATTTTTCACTTCAGTCAGTGAAGACGGATATATAAATTGTTAATTAATGCATGATGCGTTATGTTTATGTCTGTGGTGCATTTTCTTTCTTTTCATTCAGCAATAAAGTAATAGACCTTGTCTCGGTTTTCGACGCTATCTTGGCGAGTAGGCAAACGTGTGAGAAATTGCAGTGTTTGTTTGAGAATCTAATGTCGAATAATTTCCGTAAAACGATTTTTCTGAAAAAATATTAATTGTAAACTAAAGCCACGGAGCAAAGGATTGCACTAAAATTCCCCAAGGCTTGCTTAAGATTTCCATATATGTAATTTGTCTGTAATTTTCCCGGAACTCAGTCCTATCAGACCGTGAATGAATAGAAAATTTTGAAAAGTGTTTCTAGGTATTCTAGCGCATGTAACCCCCTCAATTTTTTTCAGTAGAATCCTTAGGAGTGAAGCTTTAGTTTACAATTGAAATTTTTTTCAGAACAGCCGTTCTACGGGAATTATTCGACATTGATTCTCATACAAACAGTACAAACACTGTAATTTCTCACGCGTTTGCCTACTCGTCAAGGGCGTCGAAAACCGTGACAAGGTCTATTGCCGCCGCCTTAGGTTTTGAGACTACTTACATGTAACGAAGTGGAAATATAGACTGATTGTCCAATTCATAGACACCCTACTTTGATATAAACCTATTAGTACCCTCGCATTAAGTGTTAGCCATCTCTTTAACACTTCCTGACCTTCCTCGATCTCCTTTTAGACACGCACATGTTTGATTGAAATAGAGACATGAACCTGCTTGTATGCCCTCACGTCATATACACTTCCTCGGTGAGTTCTATTTTAAAAACTGGACTTTTCATTTCACACGTCAAACGTCATACCTTTGTCATGCTATGACCTGCAAGCCTAATTATTGTAAAGAATGATTAATATCACTTCCGGGCATACTAAATCCGGGGTTACAACAGGAAGACTAACACAAACTCCAAGATGAGACAGCCATGCCTTGCCATGGATGATAATATTTGTTACTTTAATTATTTATCTTTTTACTTTCTCGTTGAAAGAGATTAGTTCTGCCAAAACGTTTTGAGAACGAAAAATATTCTAATGATATAATATTGAGGTAACCCCAAACAATTATTTTGCTAATTCGCTAAGTTTTAAGTTGTAATTTTTTAAATAAAAATGATTTTAACATACCGTAAAATTCCGAAAATAAGCCCCTCCATGTATAAACGCAAAAAACCCTCCGATCGGGGGCTTGCACTTGGAAAATTGTTCTCAAATACAAAGTGAAACAAAGCAAAAACGGTAAATGTACTTCCAACTATAAGGCTAGCCCAATCGATCTTGAAGCGCAAATTTCCCTCCGTAGATAAGCCCCTCCAAAAATAAGATTTTCGGAATTTTACGGTAATAGATAATCAACCGGAAGTGATTGAAATTATTTACAACGTCGCACTTCCTACGCAAAGCAAGGCATTGTGGGAGTTGGAGGCAGATGTCGGTGTTTTTGTTATCGCGAAGATGTCGACCGGTTGGAGAGAAAATCATAATCCAAGAAGCCTGGGATAACAAACAAACATGAAGAAGAAAAAGTTCAAGTTTGACGTCAACTTCAAGTTAAACGAATTATCTAGTGTTCCCTTCGTGAGCGGGGTTCTCTTTGCCAAAATGAGATTACTGGAAGGTGGAAGCTTTACGAGCTATTCAACGAGGTATTTGACGTTGAGTACTGTGTGAAACAACACATGTAATAAGTTCACTGTTTCTCTAAATTTAGGCTTTGTTTAAATCTCTTTCTTTTCTTTAAGGGAGGAAGTCGGTAACCATTGTGTGAAGTGGGGAATGTTCGTTAGTTTTCCGTGCAAAATGACGGCGAGCATTTCTACTGGGGTTTTAGATACGTGCAACTACAGAGTGTCAATTCGAAAGGTAGGACTACTGCATAATCAAATTCGTGACATTTACAGGGTTACGATTTTATGTTTACTTAGTTTTTCTCACGGATCAAGCTTTCTGTTTTCTCGTTCGTGCCTTTAGCCGCGTGGGGTAGATTTTCATGGTTCGTAAATGATGTTTAATTTCGGTATTGTGCAATTTCTTTTTCTTCAGTACCGTAGTAGTTTGGTTGTTATAAGGACCACCTGCGACCTGATTGATTTTATTATATTTGAGGATAAAAAGACGTTATTGAAATTTATCGCCATTCATGAGCCAACAAGAGGACAATTCTTAAGTCTTGTAACACTTTTGCTCATTTTTTGGTGTCATTTTCGAAAAATTTAATATCGGCCGATGGAAAGCTGTTCGTGGATTGCCCGGCTTCAAATCGTCAAACCGGGATCTGAACTTTGCCCGACTTCGCGACCTTAGATTCCAGAGAACGCGACTGATATTTTCCTCCCCTTTCCTGTAAATTTCAACATTTTGGCTATGATACAGTCCTCTGTTTTGCTGACCAGTATTTTTCCCACGGAAATATAAATGCTTCGTTTGCTGTTTAATTGTTCTGGAACAACCTGGTAACTTGATTAGAATGCTTCAGTTTATTGCCCTTTTCTTATGTAAATCTAGAGGTTGATCTGTTTTTGGATTAAAGGCTTTTTTAGACTTATTTCAGGGGATAATTAACGAATGCATTCGTCATTTCTTAAATAACAATTAAAACTATGCATGTATTGGTGAAGTTAAATTACCAGTGGTCTTTATATTGCTATTTAATTTTAAGTGGAACGTAGATGTGGTTTTCGAAAATTTCAGGACTTCAGGCCATCAACCTCGTAATAAAACATATCCACCCTAATTGATTAGCGTATTGAAAAAGCCAAGAAAACATTTTGTTTTGTCAAATCAGTGGAAACTAATTATTTTCTTCATACATGGGTGTGTGACAGAACAAGTGGATTGTATTGAAATATTAATCATTATAAGTTAAAATTTTTTGTCTGCGCTTTTTTGGATTATAAGGTAAACTGTGCTCCAAATTTCTTTACAGGAAATGTTCGCTTTTCCGTTTTCTGTCTTAAAGCATTGTTTGATGAATTTCTATTTTCCTGTTACACCATATTTTCAGCACGTCAAATTTTACCCACTCAATCGCTTTTGGTCGAAATTGAGTATACTTAATTTGAAGTTTCTGGATAAGCTTATTTTTTGAAGAACTGCCAAAGCTAGACAAGAATAAATGTTACATCCACAAAGCAATCATTAATTGTGCATTATAATTTTACTCTTAAAATCACCTTTGCTTGCAAAGTTAATTAGATCCAACCATGCAGCAGTCACTTTGCATGCATCTAGTTATAAAGCTGTTCCTGTCTTTTTGCAAATACGTGTATGCTGTAAGTAAATCTAGCCAAGGCCTCTATTTTCTAATGAAGTGAAGGTTACATGTAATTCTTAACTTTAATGTAAAATTTAGGCAAAATGTAGTTAAAAAAGGTACCCTTGTTTTCCCGATGTATCAGTACTAGTTAATTTTTTTTTTCAATATTGGTCTTGTATGAAGGACTGGCTTTGTGTGAGACATTGGCAGTGATCAAAGTATAAACTGTTTTGGATTATGACTGATGAATGTCAATAAGAGGGCATAATTAGGAGAAAAATATAGGTTATGGTATATAGAAGAGAGTTCGTACATGGTAGTTGCACTGATGCGTGGCCAGCAACCCAGTGTTTTGTTTCCAAATCAGTTCTGCTTTTAGAATTTCTCGTTGTTTCCTAATCAATTCTGATTTTTTTCTGGAAAGATACTTCTTACAACCTTCACCAACACTTAAGTAATACAAATTTTACATGCAGTATCGTAAGCATCACTCGAAAATAAGATGCTAATTATTTCAGATGAGAGCAAACATGCACAATTAGTTGAATAACAAATTGACTAAAAGGCTCACAATATTTATCTCAGTAGGTGAGGAATGGATAAACAATCAATTTGCTTCTTGGATGAAAGACAATTTGATTTATGTGGAAATGTTTTGTATCAGCAGGCGAACAACTAGAAATTATTTTTGGAACCCTTTTCTTCATGCTCTTTACATAGCCAATGTAATTATTAACGGTGTCTGATATTATTTTCAATGCAAGTTCAGTTGTAGCTATTTCAAAATACACTCCAGCAAACCTCGCTTAACAGGCACTTCTCTACATGGACACCTTTTTTTTATTACAGATGGTTTTCATGATCCCAGAGATACCAAAGTCCATTCAGTTTTCACTTTACAGTGATGTCCATTTTCTTGACACAAAGCTCTGTCCCTTTGGTGTCCAGAAAAAGTGGTTTTACTGTACTTACTTCCACATTGAAGCTCCTAATAGTGCTAACTATGATTTTATTTGTTTATGTTACTTTGCATTTTTTCCACTATCATTCTTTCAATTTGAGTTGAAGTGAGATAGTCATTCTTATTTTCAAGTCAGTAGATAAAATTCTTTATTGTTACCATGGCTTACCAATCTGACACATCCTTTTCGCATTTATATATTTTTGTTGTCAAAAGAAAATTATGTCGATTTTTTTTTTTTGAATCCTCATGAACAATTAAATAATGTATCATTTCAGTACTAAATTCTTCATGAAATTTCAAGAAATTAAAAAATCCAGTTTCCCAAAAAAATGCCAATATGAAAAGGATATATAAGAGTAGTATATATAATAATTATTTAATACTTTTGTGAACAATAACAACAAACAATTTCATTTTAGCCCTGTTCTATAGTCTGACAAATTACTTGTTACCTCAGCATGCACAATACAAATATTTTCTATTGCCTATTTCTGTGTTGCTCACATAGACATAAAGTAATTGTTTCAAAGTTCAGATCTCTTGCTGTAGGTAGAATGGCTGTGTTATCATTCACTCCTTTTGTGTATAGCAAAGTGAATTTTCAATTTAGGACTGTTAGTATAATGCTTTCAAATTAGAATTATCAGACAGTGTGTCTTTATTTGCAGACATGTCAGGTTTAATAAATGCCATTTCTGTCTCAGACAGCCGTGTAATAAGTGTTGTTTTTTCTGTCGCTTGTGTAAATATTTTTATAAGGTATTATGGTTTTAGTTATATTGGAATGCTTAAGCTGGCTCAATTTATTCCTATTTTTCATTGAGGTTTGGAGTTTCTCTTTATGAATTTGCATAAAGTTAAAAGGTTTTGGCTGGAGGAATGTTAAAAATTGATTATCACGGTCTGTGCAATTGATACCTGTAAGTTATAGTAATACAATATGTTCTCTTGATTGCAGTGACTTCACATATTTACATATTCTCTTTGAGTTCCAAAACATATCCTTTTAAGTGCCAAGTGCCTCTGTCAGTCCCTCAGGCTGGGGTTGGGTGGGTTAGTGGTCATTGTCATAAGACTCCAAATAAGTAAAACATGTATGTATATGTATTTGTGTATGTATGTTGTCAAATTTCCCACTGTTTGTCCAAATGAAGATGAAGTGGTTACCATTTTAGCCCCCTGTTTGAGTCTCACATCAGCCCCTCAACTACTTGTAGCTTTCTGTACTGCCAATGCTCTGTTTTGTTGCTTGGATTCTATTCCGTGAACCTTGTTAAATATAAAAAAGTATGTTCCACTAATAAGAGCACATTTCAAGTTTGACATGAATATTAATTTACTACAGAGTAAGAGAAAAATTTTGTAATCCGCTTGTCCATTGGACAACCATCATAGAGATTTTGGTTGTCCAAAACGCAGAAGTGCGTGTCCAAAAAGTTTGGTTCAACTCCATTTATAAATGAAGAGAATATAAAAGACATAACACACCACCTTTAGCATTATTCCATTAGTATCAAAATGTTAATTGTGGTATAATTTACAATGCTACAAATGTTACTTAGCCCAGGGTCCTGAGTCATAAGATACGAAGCTCACAGAAACAAATGGAATGGCCACAGAATGAAGAAATTTACAGGAGTGTTTACACTCATTTTGTCAAGATGGAAGTTTGCTTTTATATCATTGACTAGGAGATAAATTTCAATTCTATTGAAATTTGTGTTTCTGTGGTTGTAATTCAGCAATCAGAAATGTGCTTGTCCCACAGATAAGTCATGTCAAAGATTTACTTGTCCGAACTATATTTCTACTTGTCGTGGACAATCGGACATAGGTTTTGGCGCACCCTGTATTAAATCAACAACAAGAACACCATATTGCACATGTACTTGCTTGACTGTGTGCAGTGGCTAAATTTATTTTGTTCCTCTACGATGTTTTTGTCCCCTCCTCTTTTCTCACTTCTTACTTTAATTGTTGCAAGAAATGTGATAAATAGGTTGTGAGAAAGAGAGCTCTTACTCAGTTCTTTGTATGTAATAGCATTTGCATTAAACGTAGTGGAAAAGGAGTGCATCATTTAAGGTCACATCATATTTTTACTTTACTACAAAGATACAAGTATCAATACTTGGAGTTCATAAAAACACCGTGTACCTGAATTTCACAAGTGCTGTATTGCATTAAAAGCACTATATTGAATGAATACATTGTAGTTGTGCTTTTGCTATTAAAACCCTCGGGGCTGTGTCTGTGAGGAATCTTTTTGATTTTTTTTATTCAGTGCAAGTAGAAATACTGGGTTTATCAATAAGTGGTAACCCATAATGATGTTTCTCACAGATAGAATGTCAATATCTACCTGTGGTGTTACTTTGCAAAGTAATTTTGGTAAACTCACGGTAAATATTTGCTCCAGATACATTCTTAACAAAACCAAACTCAAGATGTTAAGGGATAATTCAAGCAAGCTTGTCAACCGCAGAATAAGTGGGACTCTGATTTTGACAGTCTTCGAATACATTGTTGTTAACTTAATTTTTTTCCTGTGAAGGCATTTTCTTTGGTGGCATAAAGGGGTGTATTTGTTATGGCAAAGGTTGTATCGTGGTAATAACCGTGTAATGTTTGTCTCTGACTTGTTTGATACTGTAAACTTAACATTTGGTGCTTGTCTGGTCTTTTTGCAGGAAACCAAAGGTGGGAAGGCACACATCAAGGTAAAAAACAGTTCTTATAGTCACCTTTACAGACATAAACAACTAAACCATGAAGGAGTGATATATTTGTTGCTGATGAGAGGTGCTGGGCTTTAAGCCGTACATACCAAACAAATTTGCTAGCAAAACCAGAGTAATAATAATTATTTTAATATTAGTCTCAGACAGACATTTACTGTGTGGTTTACACATCACCAAGTATTATTTGGAGTAGGTTCAAAGCACAAGAAAACTGTGTGGCTGCTTAGTAGCACTAATGCATTTTTAACACAGATCACAAGGCTGTAATCTAGTAGCACGCAGTGGCCTCTGGCACCTAACGTTTCCCCCGGGGTGACTAGAAAATTTTAATCATAAGCTGGGCACCCTGGATTTCACAAGCTCAAAGCACTGGACTCCCTTCAATTTTGATTGAAGCACGGCCCTGGATCACTGGATCATAATGAGTCAGTGCAAAGTCTCTTCTTGTACCTACAGTCTAAAATATACACAGCAGAAAATGAGAGCTCTGTTATATACATGATGACTGTGTTTGTATTGCAGTAATTTTGTTTAAAATAGTTATGATGAGTCCTGGGACTCAGTCCCAGTCCAGAACCATTGAGTCCCATTTCAAAAAGCAATGAGTCCGTGGGTCTTTTGTAACCACACAGTTAATCTGAAGACAGACTCCAAAACTCTTTATTACAGTTTAATGAAATAAAAATATACTCCTTCTATTGTAAAGCACAACAAAGACTAAAAGAAATAATGGTCGTTTAACAACAGCCACAAGAACAGCCACAGAAATCACACCAACAGGATACTCTATAAAAAAAAACATCTTCAGATCGATCAATAAATTGATCTTTGCATCCCACAAGACCCATGCCACGAATTATTTGCATCTTTGGGATTTTTATGTGTCAGGGAGGTAGGACACAGAGGTAACAAAATCACTGGTAATGTGCATTTTTTTTTGTCTTCCCTGTAGCTGGGCTTTGTAGATGTCAATTTAGCAGAGTTTGCTGGATCAGCCACAACCATGAAGAGATACATTTTAGAAGGATATGGAGATAAGACTCAGCTGCGACAAGACAACTCCATTCTAGAGGTAAAGCATTTCTTTTTCTAATTCCTCCTCCTTGTAATGTTACAATGATGAAGATTACAAAGATTTTACCAGAAAATAGCAAGAAAGCCCAAAGAAGCCACAAGGCGTATGCAACATAGGTTTTCTCAACTCAATTACAAAAAAAAAAAACAAATATTTTTTTGAACAGCAAGGCAAACTCATTATATATTTTTTTTTATAGTAAGTGTGATCTCTAATAACTAGCCAATATGTGATGTAAGGAAATCTCCATACTTTTTTTTCTTGCGACCTTCCCATGCCCCCCCCCCCCCCCCACCCCCTTGGGAAATTTGAATTAATTATATTTAAGAGGGTCCAAAGTATTGAGATTTTCTTGAGCTAAAAAATATTTTTTTGATGATGATGATGATGATAATATTTTTTTTCCTTCTTTTTTTTAAACTGTAGGTTGAAGTCAGTATGCAACTCATATCTGGAGATCCACTGTTCAAAGTGTGAGTGTGTTTTGGGGGATGATGAATCATTGACTACTTTATGTTGGAATTAACCAGAAGGCCAGCTATCTGGACTTGCTGATTAGCTTATCATAAATAGAAGGATGCAGGATTGTCAAAAGTAGCTGGCTGCCAGCAAAAATTGCCGCCTTCTTGCTTAGTATGGGCCGGCTACTCTTCTTAGCATTTCTTTACGGATGGCGTTTTTTAAATAAAATATCCCTGGACTGGCCACTTTCTTTTACAACTCAGCCATCTACTTCAAAACGTTCTGACAACCCTTAGGATGTTGCAGTTCTGGTTGACGTAATGATTAATGGCACATAATAATTTACACAGTAATAAAAATTGGTGTTGTTTTCTTACTATGTTTTTTATATATACTGCTTTGTAACAACCCTTGTGCAACAAATAGTTCAGCACAGCAAAGCGGCAATAATACAGGTAGTAAGCTGTTTAAACACTGCAATTAATAACAAAGTGACTGTCATGAAGCAAATGATAACATTTTACATACAAGTATCCCACAATGAATAACATATTTCATAACAAGAGGGTATGTTTCACATACAATCAATAATACATGTAGCTAATTGTTTTAAAATAGGTTTGTGAAAATTCAATAGCCTACTGAGGTAATTCTCAAGTTCGATTGTGTGACAATTCAAGTCTTCATTATTACTATTTTGCTGTTTCAACAGACCTCATGCACCCTCCCACAACCAAGTAACCACAGAAACAGCTGAAAACAGGGCACCAGCTTCTGATCACGACTCAGTGAGTACTGCCAGTTCAGGGGGTGAGACAGGAAGGAGCCTTACTAAAAGCACCTCAGACAGTGCATCAGAATGTCAGGAGACTGCTGGCGGTGATCCTGAGAATGCTTCCTTTGTCCCTGGACATTCACGAAGCTTCAGTGAACCATTTTATAGCAACAGCAACCACAACCGGAGCATTAGTCAACTTTCACGGATATCCGGGTACTCAACGGGTCATTCTATTTCCTCAAGTTTGGAACGCAGATTAAGTAGGAGGTATTGTTAATGACGGTGTTGCATACTGTTCGACTTTGCACCATTATTTTTGTCTTGTCATGTTTTGTTGCTCTTAGCAATTTATGGTATTTTTTTTTTCTTGGTGAAAAATTTTTTGTCTTAAGAGTTTGTCATGTTTTGTTGCTCTCAAAATACCATAGCTTTTCTTTTTCTTCTTAGTTAAAAATCTTAAAGAGTTTTTTTCAGTTGCTTACATTAATTTGTAATTTGCTTTGATTAATTTTGAATTTTTATTTATTTATTTTTTACCTTGAATACCTTAGTTTTTATTTTATTTTTCTTTTCACATCTTTACATGGGCATGTATGCTTCACCTGGAATTGTGCAGGTGTTACTGTGAAAATTAATTTCCATGGCAACTGCTGTACCTTTCAGACTGACCTTGGCAGCTTGTATTATAATGAATTGAAATATATGCAATGAATCATATTTAGAACTGTGAACATGATCTTCACAGTAGAACTGAAAGAACAACCCAAGCAGTATCATTTTTTTTCAGTTTTTTTTCTTTTTTTTTTTGGTAACTTGTCTCTTACCTTTTTAGCAGAATAGCCTATATGCCTGTTTACATCGGCTAGGTTTACGTAAGACCAACTGATGTCACCACCAGTTCCCGTTTTCAAGCAAAGTTCTTTGCATTTTCTTGGTTTTCCCTATTGCAGCTTGTATTTTTCCAAAGTTAGTCCTAGAATAAGGACTCATGTGATATAAACATAGATTAGGGCTGTTTCAATTTATTAAATGGACTTTGTTTAGACAGGCTGAAGTGTTTTCATCACACCACACACTTTTGAGGCTTGACAAAGCTGTGGATACTGGATCTAACCATCGGGGGGAAAGGGGGGGGGGGGTGGGTAGAAACAGGTGACTTTGAAGATGTAAAATTGGGAAGTCGATGTTGACAAGGTTTTTTTGTTTATTTTATGTTTCCAAGCTGTGGATACTGGATCTAACCATTGAGGGGAAAGTGTGTGGGGGGGGGGGGTAGAAACAGGTGACTTTGAAGATGTAAAATTGGGAAGTCGATGTTGACAAGTTTTTTTGGTTTATTTTATGTTTCCAACTAGAAAACAAAGTTCTGGATCAGGACAAGCTGGCTGTATCCTTTTTTAAGTTTTATGCAGACACCATTTAGGATGTTCAGCTGTTTACACCATTTATAAGGTGCAAACCTTTGTTTTCAGGTTACAATTCGTGTATGTTTTTATTACTCAAATGCCCAGTGTCTAGTGTCAAAATTATTGAAGCAAACTAGAGTGCTCCTGCCTGTTTTGACCAGCTTGAACTAATTACAGGCAACAAGTGTTGCCACCTTTGATTTTTAAAAGTGTGAATCAAGCTGTTGTTGTTGTTGTTGTTTACATATGCTTAGGTTCTCTATCTTCCTTAACAGTACCAACAGCTAATGATACAGCATTTTGTGGTTCAGAGCATACATTACCGTCTGCACCTGAAAAACAAGGCAAAAGAATCAGTTGGAAGGTGAGTGCATGAGTGTTTTCAACTGAATGTTGAAGAATATGCCACAGTCCATACATTAAGGTGAACAATCAGGAACATGTTTTCAGCTTTTTCATAAAAGTGAATTCTAGAAATTTTAGCCTCTGTTGTTTTCTTATTTCTTTCTTTTAGTGGAGGGTGATAATCATCATTCGATACACACACATACCTCTCCTTGTGGAAACCCTTCTGTCGTAGCATAATTAACAAAATTGAAATACATTGTTTATCCCCTCAGATTTCTTTATTGTGTGTTTTTGTTTTGCATTTTTGCATTTGAAGGTGCACAACAGTGAATTGTATTCCCATCTGTAATGAAATGTCCAGTAAATTAACTTATTCAGTCACTGTGTCAACCATGCCCTTTAAGGGAGCTCTCAACAGAAATTACAGCACCATTGTTGATGCCAGTCTTTCAATTTTGCCAGCTTCCATAACCAGTCTCCTCTACTACGACTGTAAAACGTTCTCCTTGTCTCAGATAGCCTGTTCCAGTGATAGAGATAGAGAGTGGCGCTCTTGATCCCTGCTACCCCCACCCCTTATTGTTTTTTGTTTTGTTTTGTTTTGTTTTTCCGGCTCACTACTCTTTGCGCTGTCCTCACTTTCTGAATACCTGAAATAAACTTCATACACTCCTTATTAGCCGCCCTGTGTTGTGTGGCAAGGACTGCTCTGAATTGCAGATGCGCCGCTTTGTTCCTTTGTTGCCCGAATTAAAGACGTTTCACTGTCGCAATGTATTGTTTATTTGACAGAAACCTGATGACATGCGATCAAGCCATAGCAGAGTTAATGCAGATGATGTAATTGAACAAATTTTTAGTGGGTAAGTTCTTTTTACCATAGTCACCTTCTGTGAACAAACACTCCCCATAGGCAAGGTTCTTAAATCATGACACAGGTCCAGCCTCCTGTTTGATTGATTTTATCTCTCTATAGCAATTTGTATGGGAATTTTTGATAAGTGCAGATAAGAATATTCTGTAGACGCTGCGCTTAACTTTTTACCTTGTTTCTTCCAGCCACAATTTATCAGGGGATGAAAATCCTTCAGGTAAGATAAATTTTGTTTATCTTAGCCTGGTTTATGACAATATCCCTGTCGCTTGGGTCACAGCCAGGTCTTTGGAACACTTAGAAACGGCATTAATTTTGTAGATTTGTGACTGAGGGTGTAACAAGTAACTGTTGCACACTGTAGTAAACCAATACCCTCATCATTAGCCTAAACTGATGCGCAGAGAACTTAGTTTTATTTATCAGAGGGTTGCAGAATGGGTATCAGGTTGTTGCGCCCGAAGGTTGATTCACCAAACGTCACTTCGCTCGGGCTTAAGCCGATTCGCCCGATGCGTTTTTGACGTTCTTTGGCCTAAACAAACTCAAGCTTAATTAAAACAGCATTTCTAATAAGTATGTTCACCATGTTGTGGGGTATTCTATGTCTTTAGGCAAATCGACTTAAGTCCGAGGGAAACGCCATCGGGCAAATCAACTTTTGAACGAAACGACCGCAATTTACGGAATGACAGGTGAAGGAACTTGTAGAAAATGAAAAATGATGTTCCTCATTTTGTTTTTGTTTTTGCCTGTTTGTCAACAGGGGATGAACTTCAAAATAACCAATTATCCATGTTCTTGACAAAAGACGGAATGTTGAATCTGCCGGGTGGATATAGCAGGTTAGTACTAGTAGTACCTCATTAAAGGGAACCTCCACTCTTACTACAGAATAAGTTTAAATCGAATAAAATTATGTTGATAAACAAATTTGTTCGAAATTTGTCTTAAAAAAAGTGTTTATATCAGGAAAAGTGAATTTTAAAATCGCTTATTTTCACTTTCAAATTTCGCGGGCGCCGCCATCTTGAATAATTGTGACGTGTTACGGTTGCTCTATTGTTCTGACACAAAGAGCTTTTGTTTAATAACACTAGGGCAACCATTACACGTCACAATTATTCAAGATGGGGACGCCCGCAAAATTTGAAAACAAAAATAGGCGAATCTAAAAGTTATTTCTTTCGGATACCAGCGCTTTCTTTAAAAATATTGTAGATTGACTTGACTGTAACAGTTATTTCCTGTGATTTAAAGTTATCTTTTTGTGGAAGTGGAGGTTCCCTTTAAACACATTCAAAGGCTGTATACTCAATAGACCAACCATATTAATCCTAATCCATTGTCTACACTATGGGACATAGAGTTGGCTTCATAAAATGTTCAAAGCTTTTTAGAACAGATGTTCGTGCCCGAAAAAAAAAATTTCATGGCGTTGATTTTATGATTTGTAATCTGTGGCTGTTTTCAATAGTGCTGTTCCCTCAGCTGATTTCCGAATGCAGATCCTTTGTGCTGCGAATTTGATCAAATGCACATGTAATTTGCACAATGTCAGTAATAAATTAACTTATGTATTTATTCTTCGGTTCGCTGCTCTAGGTGCCGACATGTGCCTACACCTTAATCCCCTAAATATATTTTGGGGATGTACCAAATGTACCCTTTATGTCCTCTGTGAAACCTTCTTGTCAGTGTTAAAATGTGGGGCATAATATATAAATATCGTGAGGAAGTTGTGAAGTGACAGTTGCAAAACCAAGACCATTACCTACAATCAGGTGTTAGTGATGTAGGAAAGCATGAGCGCATTCTAGCAATACCATATAGTCTTTCACACATCAGAGATAATAGAGAAAGATTGGGTAAGGTGACGGAAAATGTTTTGCGGTCGTTCTAGAGAGCGTCCTAGTGGTTTGCCCTTTCTTGTTGAGATACAGTCAACTCTCTCTAAGACGGACGCCTTTGGGACCGGCACTAAGTGTCCGTCTTAGAGAGGTGTTCGTCTTGTAGAGAGTCAAATGAAAGGAGTAAAGAAAGGCAGGGACCAACTCTAGGTGTCCGTTAAGAGAGAGTCGACTGTAGTTTGTTTTTTATTTTTTTATTTTTCCAAAATCTTTCCCCACAAACCTTTGTAATCACTCACCTTAAAGTCGTGCTGTCATAAGGCTGGAAATTTTTTCCCAACAACGTGCACTCTCATAGGTTACTTGGAGGTCACATGATATCTAAAAATGAAACTGTTTCCCGCCAAAATCTCTTATGTGATCTATGACGTCAGAGGTCAACACTGTTACCCGCGAATGTCGACCGCCGTAACAGCGAGGTTTAATGAATTTCCAGCCTCAAAATTTCCAACTATATCAAATCTCTATTCTCGGGAAACAAAATTAACTTTCTCCCTAGGGACCAGTCATTAAGTGTTAATTGTTAGTTTAAGTGTTGGCACATTTCCTAATCTGAAAATTATTAAATGAAAGTTCTTTTTGAATCTCACAGGCCCATACCCGAAGACAAGTACAAGACACTGTAGGAATGAAATGCAACCGGTCCACAAACCAGGAAGGTCATGCAAACATTTTTTTCGTTTCCTCGTCCACGAAGGGATTATATCCGGTCCGTAAATACAAGTTTTCCTGACGTAATCGTTAGAATTTAATATATAAATACATGATTTTTATAGCGTAAATGAAGCGTGATTTGCAAAGTTTTTTCTAGTATGCATGCAGCTTGTATAGCTTTCCATCAGAGTATAGTGAATTTATAGTTACGATTTTCTCATCAATGGCAAAATAAGAGTTACTTAAATTATATGTTGTTAATTTTGCTTTACATCTTCATTATATAATCTTTCCAAATTTTATTGAATAGCAGAATTGGTTTTAAGTTAGCCACATTTTAAGTTGAAAATGGCAGAAAATGAAATGCCTGTCAGATAATTTTGGGCTATTGGTAAGAACCGAAAATACTTTTATTTACCAAACTTTGCATATAACTGTTGGTCCGTGGGTGACAGGGTCGTAGTGTGCGGTGGTCCTCTTAATGATTGGTTTTCGACGTTGAAATTTGCAATTTGAAACCGAAGAGACCACCTGTTAACTGTGGAAAATAAGTGAAATGTTGTTAATGAAATGAAACGAGAAAACCAGAATTTAACAAGCAGGATACTTGATAACAGTCATCTTCAGTTCCCTGGTGGAACTGATGGACTGGTCTTGTTCTCTCGTGTAGTTTTGTTGTGATATTCTAGACAAATCTATTTATAAGGAAATGGCAAACGTTTTTGCTGTTAGCTTATGAAAATGCTTGCATATCTGCTTTAAATCAAATGAAGAGATGATTTTTATTTCAATTATTATTTTATAGAAAGTTATTTGCCTTAGTTTGAAGATTTGTTAGTTAGCGTTTCACAGGGAATTTACAGACCTATGACTGTTATATTTCGAGTGGCTATTTTGGGTAATTTATTAATTTAATTAAGAGTTATTTTTCAACTCACTCAAGCCAGAGATTTCTTGAAAATTCATTGATATTCTACCCAATAGAGTTGAGTGAGAAAGAGCTTGATTTAAAGATAAGAGTGCTAAATGACTAAAGAACATATAAACGCGTCCTGCAGAAACAAGTTCTTCAAAGATTTGATAATTTTGTGTGGGATTAGAGATTATTTATTATTCTTGTCAGTGTTAAAATGTAAGTCGTTGATATATGAGTATCGTGAAGAGTTTTTTTAAGTGACAGTTGCAAAGCCAAAACCATGTGCTAAAATCAGGTGTTTAGTGATTTAGCTGATGTAGGAAGGCGTGACCGTAGGCTAGCAATTCGATATAGTCGTTCACACATCACAGATAACAGATCGTTGGAAATGCGTCAGTGTGGGCGTGGTCTTATAGTAGTAATAAAGTGTGCATAATATATTACCATTCAACTGATTCGCGGCTTATGAAGTTCGGGTTATAAAGCGGGTTTGTGCACCGTCAAATTTTCATGAAGTTTCTCAAAAAACATGAACTTGGCTCATAGTTAATTTAGCTTTAAAATCTCTCTAGAATAAGTCATGATTACTTTGACCCAAACCGAAAACTTTAAAAGACTGGTTGGCGAATAGTTAGATGCCAGCCAACGCTCACTCGTCATTGGAAGCCGCTGCAATAATATCTTATGTTAGAAACACTTTTCTTACGTTCTGTCATCTCTATCTGTGCATTTTTGCTCGATTCATAAATAGCTTTTGTTATCATTTTGGAGATTTATGACGGGATGCGAACGGGTGGGTTTTAGTTAAAGAGGTAAAGAGGGTATCTTTAATTTGCACTGCATTTTACATAGCGGAAAGAATTTCTCCTTTATGGGAAGACCTTTAGCTGGTTCTAATGTCTTTACCGGGAGAAAATTTTGTCCGTTCTAATGCTGTGTATCTCGAGGCGTGGTAAGTTGTTGAAATTATGAGATTAATTTGCTGCGATTTGCTTCTTTGTTGATCGCAATTTTACTCTTGGGTTAAAAATGGCTGGGGGATAAATGTTGTTGCTGTCACAAGTTGTAAATAAAGCAGTGCATTTGTTACTTATGTGTGATATTGATTTTATCTATTTTATCTGGTAGAGCATCAGTCAACAATATTTTAGAACAAATGCATTTCGTTTACCACTTATAATGTGGCTAAATGTATTTTAGATTTTATCTGGTCAGCAGTTTTATCTGGGGTGGCCCGATGAGCATCAGTCATATACAATTGCAGTTTTCGAACAAATTGCTTGCTGTTTGCGTGCCAGTTTTTAGGTAAAATATTGGGTTGGTAAGTATTCCACTGAATTGTTCAGTGTGACGGTGCCTGGTGGGGGCCGCTCGCAGGGTTGCCATGGATACCTCCTCCTCATGCTAGAGCATTGCCCGGCTCCACCAACTTTGTAGGCACCAACGCCCAAGCTCATCTATTGGTGATGAGTTTAAACTACAGCTACTACACTTACTACACATACTAGAGCTACTACAGATACTACACCTACTACACTTACTACAGCTACTACACTTACTGCACCTTTTACACCTACTACAGCTACTACACTTACTACACTTACTACTGCTACTACAGCTACTACACTTACGACAGCTACTACAGCTACTGCAGCTACTGAACTTTCTAACAGGTACTACAGATACCACACTTACTACACTTACTAACTACACTTACCAGAGGCACGATATGGCACTGGTGTCTCAGGACATTTCATGGGGTCATACATGAGCTACTGACCTTATAAAACCATTGAACGTGCAACCACTTCATCTCACAGAAGGCTTGTCCCGCACCAAGCTGAGCGTAGGCTTCACTGATCAATAAGTCTCGCTTCGGCATTCAGTACAGTATTCAGTCAGAAGCGCTTTGCACTGTTGTTAAAAACAGGCATTGTCAAGTGACAGTACATCTCCCCGCTGACTCCTCCTTTGTACGCAACATGGGGTTCCGTGTTTTATAGGGAGAAACTCGTCCTTCATCCCGTCGTGGGTTTTTTAGGGATGAAAGGGAAAAAATACGAGCTAGCCAGCAAGACTTTCAAAAATAAAAATCCCAGCCAGCAATCATGTTTGACGGTTTTTTTGCCAGCCAGCAGGTTAAAAAAACAAAAATTACTCCCAGCCAGTGACTCGGTCAAATTTTGCGTTATATTAAAATTGAAGAAAAACTTTGTATGAGCAACATGGGGTTCCGACATGAAAATTGTTTTGTAGAATTCATAACAATAACATAAAAACTAAAGACATTCAGCGGTAACTCCTCTGCAAAATCACCCCAAATTCAGTGTAGACACATGCTTATCGCCAGCATTATCGCCGTGCCTACTGTTACTCCGCAAAAAGTCTACACCAGAACTAATAGAAAGTTTCGAGTAAACAGGCTTTCCGTTGGAAACTTCTAACCACTACGGCTGAAAACCACGAACCCACAAAGTAAGGTAACGTTTGCGGTCTTTAACTCGAGTTTCAACGTGGGAGGATGGTTTCCTCTTTCGTCATTTACGTAAACGCCTGACTACAAACAAGGACCTTTCTGTTGCGGTAAAAAAAAAAAAAAACAATACTGTCCATGTTTTCAAATACGCTATGGCAACAGTTTACTTTTTAAAGCCAGACTGATAACGTGTTCTTGTAGTATTTTTCTCCGCACTAGTAAGAGCTTGTCATCCTCAGTTTGATCTTACTCACTCATTTTTTTCTGTGGTCAAGAAGCCATAATGGTATGTCGTCAGACAATCACCACAAAAGTTTCAGTCAGCAAAAAAAGCCAGTAGTCGTAGGTCGTGGTCAGTCAGGCAATCACCGTAAAAGCCAGTTTCACACAATCACCGTAAAGAACTGGTGCAAAGTTTCGCAGCAAAAGCCAGTGAAAAAGTTTTTTAGTCGTACTCGTCGTCCGAAAAATCGGGAAATCTTACGATCTTTTGACACTCATGCAAGATGGCCGCCCGTCACACAAAGCGCTCGATCTCGATGATCTTACGGAAAAATAGAGGACTGTGAACAGTCTACAATTTACCATCGACCCTCGACCCTCGACAATATACCCTCGACCGTCGACATTCTAAAATTGAGGTCCTACAGCCGGGAAACATCACCAAAAAATATGTAATCTGAGTCACTGTGTTCGAAGATATGAATAAATTTGCTAACAGAGCTCTTAAAATTTATACGATAAAAAGCTTTAAGAGCAAGAAATGCGTCAGCGTCAAAACAGATACTGGTATGAAAGTCCCTCGACCCTCGACAAAAACCTACACTCGACAGCGAAACGACTACAAACAAAGAAAATTCCCTTTTGACAAAACCTACACTCATTTCCACAGCTCGCGTGGGGTGAAACGCGCACTTTTTCTTAAATTGACCTACCAACAAAGAGTCATAGAGGTCCAACGGTTTCTTAAAAGGACAAATTCTCGTCCCCAGAGCCGTTTCTTGGTCACGTGGTCTTGAAACGAGGGGCTCTGGAGGCAGCCGTTACCGGATGTCCGAAAATTTCGGACTTCCGGTCACGCATGTGCAGAAGTTACAAATATCACTGCTTATGCTCATAACGGATTTTTGTTCCTCGCTGCTCCACTGGGGACAAAATTTTACTTCCTGAGCTCTCTCCAGACTGTGGCTTCTTTGGGCTGTTTTGAAAATACAGACTTCACTCAACTAGGATTCATTGATAATTTAGAGTCAAAAGGAGAAGACATTAACAAAAACCAGCTGAACACACCGTTGGGTGTGCAGAACTGAGACAATTAATCGGCAGGTTATCGTGTGAGTTTAATGTGTGAGTTCATGTTTGGCGAAAACAAACACTGAGAAAGCAAAATCGAGGAGATCGAAAGTCAGTCTAAAGAAGGTATCTTGTTCGATGTCCTGCAAATGCTATCTTATTTCAAAACGCCTTTCAAACGAAGCAATTCTCGTGTTGTATTACTTTAAAAAGTGGACAGGAAAATAAAATGTATATTTTCGTTTCACTCTCCCTAGTTGTGTTTTTTCCTATGTTTATTTCCTTTTGAGGTGTCGAATGGTGGGTTTTAATATTGCCCATGAGCTTTTGTGTACAACTTGAGTCAAGACAACCGAAGGTTTATGTCAAAACAAATCAGTATTAACCATTTTGCTGTCCCAAACAGGGTAAAAAACAGTACAAACTTTGTCCAGGAGAAGCGATAGCTTACCGGGGGGGGGGGGGGGGGTGATAGATATCTGAGAAAGACTCTTACACGTTCATGGACTAAAAAACTGAGTGAATCAAATTCCAGTTCAGTTCTTTCTGTTTAACAACCCTAACTGAAACTTGATTCACTCAGTTTCTTAACCCTAATCATAAAACTTGAGGGTCATTTGGTGTTTATGGTGGCCATTCGGTGTTTTGCGAAAGGGGACCTTTATAAAGATTTCAGTTATCATCTCCTAACTAAATACCATCATCAGTACCTCAAAGACGGAGTTGTCAATAATTTTGCTGTCAAACTGAGGAAATCGTGGACGCCTGAAATTTTTCAGGAATGTTGGTTGTGTAGTACCCTGAGAGCAAAGTCTCCTTCGATCTTCTAGAAAATATCGGCCCCGAAAGAGACGCTGCTCGCAGGGCAATTGTGTAGTGACCAATCACCATAAAGTTCAGAACACATGAGCAAACCTCAAAAACAAAATACTTTTTGTATTTACTGGTATTTAAATAAGCTTCAAAATGTAATATTGGAAGCTTAGGGGAGGGCTTATAACTGGGATGCGACTATGGTGTGAGCACTGTTCTTAAGCGGGGGGAGAAGAGATTTATGCAACTGGCAAACAAAAGTAAAAATCAGGTGTCTGTTACCGCAGACACTCTATTCGGAATTATAAGTAGGAAAAACCCCTAGTTTAAAGCCAAAACTAGAATTAGCCAATGAAATGGCAAGTCGTTCTCTAAACATGTACTTGAGACTTTTCTGCCCAGCGATATGATTGTTTCCACGAAGCAAGTTTATTCCGTTCATCCTTTTCTTGCGGTCTCCATTACGTAAGGACCTTCACTGGGTGACCAATGCTAAACAACGCCGGGAGTAGCTTTGAAAATTTAACCCGATGTTCTGAACTGGACTGTATCTTTACCGCAGTTGATTTACTTTTGAATAATATCGAACAAAAACTATAATCTTCTGATACGATATCAATGATTTGGCAAAGACTGCCTTCTTATTTTTAATCCATTTTGCAAGTGCGGTAGGATCAAAGATCGTTTTTTCATGCAAATGTCAACAGAAAGAATGATCTAGCGGGTGAACGGTTCATTACCTCACGATTGGAAAAGTGTCAAAATGTCGAGATTTCACGGTTCTATGACTAGTACAGAAAATGGACCATTGATTAGAGCTAACAAGCAGCATAACTTTCATTTGACTGCTGGTTGCGTCAAAGATTAACAGTACCTCGCACTTTCCGTGGTAAGTACGCTGCTTCCTTTTCAGTTACATAATCAATTACTTCTATTATGGCAAGCCAAATGTAGCAATATTCAATTCGTTTAATTTTTAATATGTAGTTTTGTATTATGTGTTCAACTATGCGTTTAATATTCAACTTCTGTTCAACACTTCAACGCGTTATTCAATATTCAACTTCACATTCAACATTCAACTATTCATTTTCATATTCAATTCCTTATTCAGCCATTCAGTTATCTATTCAACAATTTCAACCATTTATTCAACATTCAACTTTAATTCAACATTCAACTATTCATTCAACTCTTTTGAGCCCTCACTACTTCTGGTCAGTGACACAGGTCATTGCTTGTTAAAAACATAGCGGCGGC